TGAACTTTACGCTTACCCAACACTACTTCACCTGCCCAGTGTTCTGCCAAGTCTCAGATAACATGTTTTATCGTTTAAAAGCATGGCTTTAACCACACTATCCACGTTATATACTGAGGACAAAGAAACAGGTGAACTCTTCTTCACCTGCCCTGTATCCCGTTAATTTCCGATAAGAAACTTTATCATTCAAATCTCAAACAAAATGAAAAAAAATTGAATTTTTTTTTAATATTATCATGTCTCGAAACCGTGCCACTCGCATGGTAATCCTAATACGCCAACCTTGTACTCTCAAGTAGATAATAACTTATATATATATATATATTAATTTTAGTCTGCGTAAGAAACTACGCGAATCGGCCTTAGATATAGATCTAGCATTATTTCAAATTAAAATATTTCTTAAATTTAACCAATTCCATAGCTAAACAAAAAAAAATAATAAAGCTCTGAAATAGTTTAGTAAAACTCATTATTATCTAGATCTAAATAGAGTTATCTAGATTCTACAACTGGTTTGGTTAGGTCGAGATTTTGCCGTAACTGTAGAATCTATGGAAGCCGCCATTGTTGTTTTAAAAAGAAAATAAATAATGTGACGTCACTGTTCACTCTAAATTAAGTCATTCTATTTTACAACTCTACACATAGTGCAGTTTCTCTCCTGTAACCAAACGGACAAACAAACAAACAAACAAAAATTCAAACATGTAAATAAACTTGAGTTTTAGTAGTATATAGATAGATAAACAAGTTACTAGTACTTTCCTTACCTTCTATTAAGTTAAAATAGTGAGTAAGTAGCTAGAAGATAAAACCTCAAGTCTTTGCTCATCAGTACACAACAACGTTACTTAATATTTAACAGGTGGCCGTTACTGTGGACAAGACAAATGTTGAACCAGGAGATGAAGTGACTATTGTCACCACTGCTGACCCAGACTCCAATGTCTTCTTACTGGCCAGTGACCAAAATGATGTGCTAGTAAAAAATGGAAATGACGTTACCTTTGCTAATGTAATTATATATATATATATATATATATATATATATATATATATATATATATATATATATATATAATTTCTTCTTAAGACTAAGCGGCTTAGCCGTGGTAGTTTGACGTTGGGTTTTTGCTGTTTCTATGTTTTGACTTGTGTTTCCTCGTTCTGTATTCAGGAACAGGAAATTACGAATTAATAGCCGATTAGGAGGTCGGCATGGTCGTGTTGGTTTAGCTCATCGTTGCTGAACCGAAGAGTCCCGAGTTCCAACCCCCGAGCAGATGAGGCTCGATAGCTGGGGACAGATACTTATCTAAAATCAATCAACTGACACCTTGTAGTTTGCTCTTGGTTGGACAAAGGCTGTGAAATAAAAACGAAGAAAAACAAGAATAGCCAATTAGTGCTGAAGCAGGGGTCGGCGTGGTCGAGTCGGTAAAGCTCAAGACTACTAAACCAGATAAATCTTGAGTTCGAACCCTCGGGCAGATGAGGTTCGTAAACTGGGGACAGTCACTCTTCAAGGAGAGACAACTCCAAAATCAAACAACTGCTGCCTTGTAGTTTGTTCTTGGTTGGATAAAGGCTATGGAATCAAATCCAAAAAGAAAAGCAGGCTGAAATTGGAGTCAATGGCCTCAATGGCGCATAACCAGTTGACACGTATCCATAATTGTGTTATAGGGGGATCCCTTCCAACAATAAAATTAAGAACGAAGAAGAAGAAGTGCTAAAGCTAAATTTCAGGGTTGTTAAAATTCAGGTTCACACAGAGATCATGAGCTACAATACGGACGTCACATTGAGATTTTGTAGAACCAGCTCAGGAGGGGAACTACTAAAGGTGAGTCCTTGTTAGACTTTATTGAAAAGCTCAAATACAATGTCAAAACAATCTAAATTTCAAGTTGAATTATCGCGATAGTTATATAGATTACGTGATCTTAAAACCGTATCAAATGTTTAGTTATACAACTTTTTTTTTTAAATTGGACCATAACAAATATAGACATATTCAGCGCCAATACAATTGTTTGTTTGAAATGTCACACAGGATGAAGGAGTTACCGTCCTCACTGATGCCAACGTGTACCAAGATAGATCCAAATATGACATTGGGGAGGATTCTCTTGGTAGGTTTTAATCGAATGTGTAAAATGGAGGGGTTTACTCGAGTGTGTACCCGAACGTGTGCTCGAATGTTCACACTAGCATTTAACTTATCCTGCTGACAGAAAGGGGTTATTTTTATGAAAAAAATACATATTTTTGTACACAAACGTGCATCTACCAAAACAGTAACATACAGGTACGCATATATATATATATATATATATATATATATATATATATATATATATATATATATATATATATAGTCGAGTTCGTCTTCTCTTTCCGATTTCCATTCTTATTCATAATTAAAATTACACTTAAAATCACAATTACACCTACACTCACATTTACATTGACATTCACCATTCACATTTATCATTACATATCCTTGTTAAAGCATATTTCTTTTAAAGAGAATGTAGCGTCCTATCGCGTACCCCGAGCTCAATGGTACGCTGCGCGGAACGCAGATCCACTATCTCCAAAACCTGCGCGAGTTAGTGAGATCTCTCGCGAGTCATGGCTATGGACTGATGCTTACGTCGGGTAAAGGAAATTCCCTCATAACAAATTTGTTTTTCGATTACTGATTGGGCTGTTTAAAGTTATTGAAAAAAATGTATTCTCCTAAATTACGAAATACATTTACCATGCTGCTCTAGTTTTTAATATGAGAGGTCAGTGTAAGTTAACACCAAGTATAATATAATGATATTTCAATTCCTATTGCTGGGTCGTTCAACTAGCGCTTTTCCATATTCGTATTTCGCCTAGCTGTAGTAGTAAAGTAAAGAATCCTCTTTAGACCTAGCGATCCATTGGGCAGATGAAATAGGGTTGTTAAGTTATTTGACCCCAGTATATGAAGGGAAGGTGCTGTTTGCACTTTGCCCAGCCGCCTTTACTTTTTTTCACTCTTATAGAACAGTTCAAATATTTTCTACAAACGTATTTTCTTATTAATTTAATAATTAGTCTGATGGACATTTTTATTGAACATCACTTATTTAATTATCTACAACGATAGAAAATAATATTTTAAATTTTTAAAAAGTATTTAATAAGTTTTCTTTCATGTCATTAACGTAGAGCGAACGGCTCAGCCTCTATCACTGCCACTGTACCAGACACCATTACGTCATGGGTGGTCAGCGCCTTCGCCATCAACTCAAACTCTGGTCTGGGCGTGGCCCCAACACAAGCTCACGTGAGTCTATAAATAAATTCAGTTAATCGAATTAGAGAATTTCTCCGATAAAACCAAGCGTAACAATTTAAATAGAAGAATTACCACAACATGCCAACTAACGTATCATGTTCACATCACACACTGAAAGGCCTGCCAATTCAACTCACACACTGAAGTAGCCTGCCAATTCACATCACACACTGAAGTAGCCTGCCAATTCACCTCACACACTGAAGTAGCCTCTCAATTCCCCTCACACACTGAAGTAGCCTGCCAATTCAACTCACACACTGAAGTAGCCTGCCAATTCAACTCACACACTGAAGTAGCCTGCCAATTCAACTCACACACTGAGGCAGCATGCCAATTTACCTCACACACTGAAGTAGCCTGCCAATTCAACTCACTCACTGAAGTAACCTGCCAATTCACCTCAGACACTGAGATAGTCTGCAAAACACTAACACCACTGTGGTAACTAGCCTGTTTACCTCACACACTAAGTTAGCCTCTCAGCTACACCTATACACTGAGTTTGCCTCCCAGCTACACCTATACACTGAGTTAGCCTCCCAGATACACCTATACACTGAGTTAGCCTCCCAGCTACATCCACACACTGCCAACTGAAGAAGAAAGCAAGACTTACTTGAAAGACGGCTCAAGGAGAATGGGACACAACTCTTATCAAATAGAAAGATCAGCCTAACACTTCATGTTAATTGTCAATCTAGAATAATCGAATAAAAACTAAACGCTTAATAGAGCGAGCACTGACTACAAACGACTACATATTGTAAGAACGTTTTATTAGACTACACAATTTTTAATTAGCCCTCTGGTAAGTTTGATCTTAGATTTATCTTTTTTAAAAAAGAGGTTTTAACAACATTTTAAAATATTCTAAATAAATTTTACGTCATTATCTGCTTCAGCTGAAAGTCTTCCGACCGTTTTTTGTCAGCCTCAACCTCCCCTACTCTGTGACTCGTGGTGAGCAGCTGGCACTTCAAGCAAACGTCTTCAACTACCTGACAGGCGATATGCAGGTGGGAGGAGACGCTATGTACATCATTATATATATATATATATATATATATATATATATATATATATATATATATATATATATATATATATATATATAATGAGAGAATAATGTTTTAATATTAATTTTTAAAAATTTCTAATTCTAATGATGCAACAAGTCAAGTAAATGAAGCAGCTGTAAATTTACCAACATCCATGAACACCAACTTTTCACTTTCAGAAACTCCAGTAAAACAAAATAGATCGCGCTCTTTCAATCAAAGCTCGCCTTTCTTTCACACCTTACAACTACCACTGATTCTTTAAAAAAATTAAATAAAAACATAACATATCTTACCAAAAAAAATCTGTACAATGAAACATGTCCCGGAATATTGAAACAAAAACTTTAGCTACTAGAACCACAATATTGTCTTATTTAATTTAAAATTATATACAATTTTAGGTACGAGTGACGCTGGCCGCGTCTAAACGTTTCCACAACATTTTTATCGACGCCACAGGAAACCAGGAACTGAAACAGGTTGATGTTGTACAGGATATTATGGTGAGTTGGTTTTTATTTTTTTTTATTATTGTACTTTACAAAGTTAACAGTTTTCCAAGACTTTCGAAGGACGATGCTTGTCAATTATTAATTTTTATTAATTTATTTAGCTTAACGATACAATATACACATTTCAGAACAATTTTCTATTGCAAACAATCTGAAAATATTTACCTCAAAAGGTCAAGGCTGGTGAGGCCAAGTCTGTATATTTCCCCATCGTCCCTGCCGACCTTGGTAGAATTGACGTGGAGGTCAAGGCTCAGTCCACCAAGGCCGCCGACGCTGTGCGCAGACAACTCCTGGTTGAGGTAAGTTGGGAGTAACGTTCTTGATGCTAAGTTGTCTCTTAAACGGATATTAAACAACTCGAAATAATTATCATTAAAAAAGTTTTTAAAAAACCCACGTTTTCTGATTGAACTAAAAAGTAGAAAATAAATGCTATACATCACAATAATGCAAGCGATCACTCTACTATAAGCGATGAAAAACGTGGGTCATTGTTAATATAAGATGTAAAAGTTATATTACTATTGATTAGATAATACTATTGACTTTTACTAGGGAGCTTGTAGAGAGTCAACAGTATTAGAAACGTAAGAAAATCACGGCGCCCCACGTTTTTCATCGTTCAATCAGAAAACGTGGGTTTTTTTTTAATTTTTTTTAATGATAATTATTTTCTACTTTTTAGTCTTTGTCTGTTTGTTTGCATTAAAATCTTGCTATCGACTTTACCTTTTCGCATTCACTTTTTTTTTTGGAAAACGAAGACAACTCGTAAAAAACACGTTGTGTGAATACGTTACTGACTAGAACACATAGATTTGAACCCGTGTCGAGTGGGATAGCAATCGTGTGCCCAACCACTCGACCATATCGTCTCCCCCATACAGGCCACCAGTTGTTACGTTCCGGTTGTTTGTACACAAACACCGCGTGAACTCAACTCAGTAAGCCAAAAGAGGGAGAGTACTAAACCTTGTTTTCATCAAATTACAATTACTGGGTTGTGTCCCTTTTTCCCACGTTTTATGTACAAATAAATGATCAATAAAATGTTTCCATGGATCTATTTAGTAATAATAACAATTGAATATTCTATTGTCATTGGAAACAAAGCTTCCCTGAAAATTTCAGCGCGCTAGCTAACTGGGAAGTGCCCGAAATTTCGATCGCAAGATTTGATTGGAGAACCAAACAAACAAACAAACAAACAAACAAACAAACAAACAGACGCAAAAGCAAGTTAAAGAAAACGTGGGAAAATGACCCTAAATAGTGATAAATATAATAGTATGAACAATGGTCCCACTAAGAGATATATTAAAGTCAGGGTGAGGGTCGGAGTAGGTAGGTCTAGCAGGTAAGCACATGGATGTTAACCCGAAAGTCCCGAGTTCGAACCCTTGGGCAGATGAGGCTTGTCAGCTGGGGAACAGCAACCCATCTACGTTTGAAAACTCCTAAATCAAACAGGAGTGGAGGCCCTTTGTCTTACCAAGATTCCTATCGGCAGCTCCTGCGACACTGCTGATTCCAAGCCCTGTCGCTGGGGTCAATCAGCTGTGTGGAGAGGGGGGGGCATGATACATGGGCAACATCTGGCTCTTCTCAACTTAGGGCCCAGGCTTTGTGCTTGGATTTCCAATGCGCTATCATCCGATGGTCCACTAGACTAGGGTGCCAAATTACAATGGGGGTAATTTGAGGGAGATTTGACCCGGTATCCATCAAAAGGTATTTGACTTGAGGATAATTTCCTAGAGCCATAACCCAATGTGCTGATCTATCCGCAGGCTGAAGGTGTCCCCAAGCAATACAACATCCCTGTCCTCATCGACCTGAGAGACGGCAAAAAAACTTTCTCACAGACCGTTGACATCACGCTGCCTGACAACGTAGTGAAGGGATCGGAACTTGTTAGGATTTCGGCTGTCGGTAGGTATTGACTGTCAGAGTTGTCGCTATGTAGTGGAGAATGGTAAAATAAATCTTTATTGTCAGCAGATTGATTATGAAAGCTCAAAGAGTAGCTATAGTGGCGGAGGGTAGGGGATAAACAACAAAAAACCTAAGTAGTCAATATGTAGTGGTGCTCAGATGTGTAGCTGCTTGAAGGTTTGTAGTTATCTGTAAGTAATGGCAGACAAGCGTGGCCAAGTGGTATAGAGTGAGACTTCTAACCCGTAAGTCTCGAGTTTGAATCCGGGATCAAGTCAGTAGAACGTCCCTGAGTCAACCAAGCTGAGATGGGTATAAACTAACGTTATGGAAAATAAAAGCGGCTGGGTCTAGTGCTAAACTCACAATCCCTTCAAATGCCGAAGTCACTGAGACAGATAAATCTACTTCATCTGCCCACACGTGATAATGATGAATGACATTAAGAGAATGTATGGCTTTTGTTATAACAATCTCATATGTAGGTATGAAATAGTAGTCAGAGGCGTTATTTATAGGGGGGTCGTGATGCATGTTTTTCAGCATGCAGTGGCAGATAATCGAAACTAGGTGATGTGGGATTACTTCGCTGTGTAGTGGCATTCAGAGCTTAAATAAATTTTCTCATAAATTCTATAGTACCAAATCGTAATAAAGTGTGACTCCCCTCAGGTGACCTGATGGGTCCAACCATAGATGGATTGGCCTCCCTGCTCCAGTTACCAACCGGATGTGGGGAGCAGACCATGCTTGACCTGGCAGCGGATGTCTACGTCACAGATTACCTAGACTGTGTCAATCAACTGAATGGAGACGTCAAGACCAAAGCCATCAACTTCATGGAGAGTGGTGGGACCACACATAAGATATTTATTTTTCTATGAATAAATGACATATATATATATATATATATATATATATATATATATATATATATATATATATATATATATATATATATATATATATATATAATATATATATATATATATATATATATATATATATATATATATATATTCTGTTAAGTAATGCCAAGCTTTAGATAGGTATGTTACCATGAATAACATATTTTATATTGTTGACGTCATGCAGGTTACCAGGGTGTGCTGACCTACATACACAGTGACGGATCTTTCAGTGCTTTTGGTAACAGAGACAAGTCTGGCAGTATGTGGTAGGTTTAGAGGTTCATGTGAATGTTTCAAGTATGTGGTAGGTTTAGTTCAATGTATTTTTAAAGAATTAATGACACAGGCTAATAAAGAAAAGGATTTTAGTTATTACGTTCAAAAGCCATATATGTTTTTATTTCTAATGCTTGTAGAATTACTTACAATAAAATTGATTTGTACTTAGAACCCACCACTTCGTCATTAGGTCTTTTTAAAGAACTTTATTAAGTATGGAATAAATCGGGAGTAGTTTCAGCGAAACATTCCCGTATAGGTCAATCTCTAACAAGCATGGCCTTTTTCTTGCGCAGTCACTGACAAAAAATACACACACAGAACACACACAAGGGACTTTATATCTAAGAAGACATAACGTAGCATACAACTAACCGGAAATAATGTAACAGTATTTTACAATGATCATTACAAGCAATTTTTTGTTTTCTTTTTTGTTTAATGTTTTTTGTTTTTGTTTTTTTTTTCAATTAGTAAAGATTTTTCTGTATCTTGACAGGCTGACAGCTTTTGTAGCCCGCGTCTTCCACCAAGCCAAACGTCACATCTTTGTGGATGACAACATCATCAACGACGCCATCCTGTGGATGATACAGCAACAAAAAACGGACGGCAGCTTTCCAGAACCTGGCGTGGTACTTAGCGGTACCATGAAGGTCAGCTCAATAAAACCCTGGTTTTGGTTGTGTAATGCACAACTTAGTTTTAATAAAGAAATTTAATTTCGAAACTTACGATCCATAAAGCAAGTAAAGTAAAGCTTACATGTTTCTGTGACTACGGTATATATAAAGGACTAGTGTCCAGCCGCCTTTAGATTCCCTATCGTAAATCCGGTCATCATCAGAGCTGGGTGGACTCATTGACTTTATATGGAATTTAAGTCGGATTCCAACTGGAGTCTTCCGAGTGACCAGATAAAGCGCTCTTTGTTATGTAAAGTCCAATTAAATATTGGCTTGGCCGAACAAGAAACTGTTTGATTACTATTTTTAAAAGTCCAGTGACCGGAAAGATGCAAACGAAAAATGGCGCAACAGAAATAAACTCTGCACAAAAATTGTGCAAATTCAAATTTGATTTCATAAATCGAGCATTTGTAGGCATTAACAAATAGTGACTACAAGTACATTGTAGCATAATAATATCATGGGGTATTACATTTTAAAAAGGGAAATGGCAATTTCCATGTAAATAAATATACGGCTATTTAGAAATTTTTGCTAATTTAGTTATTGATCCATCGTGTTCCTAATCCAAAGAATCATGAAAAAAAACACGTGTGGTTAAATATATATATATATATATATATATATATATATATATATATATATATATATATATATATATATATATATATATATATATATATATATATAAACTACAGGACCAAGCAGGGTCGGGAGTCAAGCTAACCCTGTTCGTACTGATCTCACTACTAGAGAACAGTGATGACATGAAGTACCTGGTAAGTCAAGGGTTAATTTTTTTATGGGAAGTGGGGGGGGGGGGATGATTGGGCCGGAAAACCGAAAAATTCCGAGTTTAAACCCCGGGCAGACGAGGCTCGATAGCTGGCAACACCAGACAACTTCAGAATAAAACAAATGCTGTCTTGTAGTTTGTTTTTAGATAGACAAAGTTCATGAGAGCTTTTTATCAACAATAAATGTCTTGAACATTGACAATATGTTTGAAGAAAGCATTTTTTCAGGCTTTATGACATCTTCAAGGATATGAACGAACAAAAGTCTGAAATGTCCCAGAACTTATTTATCTCATAATTTCCAGGAATATCTTTATTAAAAGCAACGAAAAACCACAAGCCCACATTATTTTCAAATTAAGTCTAAACCAGAAAGCCACATTACCCACAGTAACTAAATATAAAAACCGCATTTTTCCAAGAATGTTGATGAGGCAATACAAAAAGCCCTGGCCTACGCTGAACAGGAAGTTGCCAAGTTGGATGATCTCTACGTTCTCGCCATGGCGTCTTACGCTTTCCAACTGGCCGGCAGCAACATGACCCAAGCTGTTCTAGACAAACTGGAGGCTGAGTCAACTCAGAAGGGTAAATCGTGTTCTGTACATCGAATCATGTTTGTACCTTCGCTGCACGTTTAAACACGGTTAATTACTATACCAAACACACAGCCCCCTATGAAATCCATTACAAAAATAAAGTAAAATTTTATTTTAACGTTTATAATAAACTTACCTTTTCAATCCATGGGACAGATAAAATAGATATGAAGGGAAATTGTGTAGCAATATGCCCAGCGCTGTTTACATTATATAACTTGAGCGAAGTCCCTATCAGAGCTGGAATAATGACTCAGCCTGCAGTCTCTTAACTGGATCCGAACTCTAGACTTTCTATAAACAGACGGCATGAAGTACTGGCAACAATCAGATCAACCGAGGATCATCACGTGGCAGAGCCCCAACCCCACCAAGGCCGTTGACATTGAGATGACCGCCTACGTCTTGCTGACCTACACAAAGCGGGGCGACTTGGTGGCGGGCAAGAGCATCATGCAGTGGATCACCAAACAGAGAAACGCCAACGGAGGCTTCATATCAACACAGGTTTGTCAAGAAGTTAACTTTGTAAAACTCTAAGTGAAACTACTATCCAAGTTTAAGCAATGTTTTATAATTTTATATTTTACATATTTAGGTTATAATTTAAAATTAATTATAATTCTGCATTTTACTCTGCCTCCTAATCGATGCAGTATTACATTTGAAATGTAGTGCTAAACATTTCATAAACAACAAGCATCCCTCAACACAATCACTCTCTAGGATACCGTCGTCGCCCTGAACGCCCTCAGCGAGTACGCCAAACAGATGTCCAGCAAAAAATTAAAAGTCCACATCACCACCCAGCTGGACTCTGAGACTACCTACACCTTTGACGTCGACAAGACCAACTCACTTCTGCTGCAGTCTAGAGAGGTTACAGTGCGAGATTTGGTTGAATAGTATATATATATATATATATATATATATATATTATATATATATATATATATATATAATATATATAGTATATACTATATATATAATATATATATATATATATATATATAGTATTATATATATATATATATATATATATATATATATATATATATATATATATATATATAATATATATATATATATATATATATATATATATATATATATATATATATATATATATATATATATATATATATAGATATATATATATATATATATATATATAATATATATATATATATATATATATATATATATATATATATATATATATATATATATATATATATATATATATATATATATATATATATATATATATATATATATATATATATATATATATATATATATATATATATATATATATATATATATATATATATATATATATATATATATATATATATATATATATATATATATATATATATATATATATATATATATATATATATATATATATATATATATAAATATATACTATTCATGTATGTATAGAATACAAGAGTACCAGCTCAAGTTGTGATCACCGCTACTGGCTCAGGCATGGCACTTGTTCAGGTATTTCCTCTGTTGACAACCCTTTTATTATAACAGATCCTTTAACCCGTATATACACAACGAGCTACTGTAAATTTTAAAATGCTACACTATTATTAACTGTTATTAAAAATATTTTTGTAAAACCAGCAACAATTTTCTAATCAGATTTCTATTAAATCTGTTCAAATAGGCTGCTCTAAGCTTCAACGTGCTGTCAGATATAAAGCCAGAACACTTTGATCTAAAATTGGAAATAGTAAAGGAGAATTTCACATACTTGGATGTGGAAACTTGCACAAGGTGTGTACATTGGTGATACCCGATGTGGATCAAAGTGTTGGTTAGAAATGTGGGTGTATGGTGGCTAAGCTCCTAAACATTTTGTTTGAATATAGACTTTTTAAATGTTAAAACATCTTTTATAGATTTGTAATTAGTATGTCATATCCAAAAAAAAATAAAAACGTACATTTGTACGTACATGTAAACCCGCTCCACAAGGTGTGTACATTGGTGATACCCGATGTGGATCAAAGTGTTGGTTAGAAATGTGGGTGTATGGTGGCTAAGCTCCTAAACATTTTGTTTGAATATAGACTTTTTAAATGTTAAAACACCTTTTATAGATTTGTAATTAGTAAGTCATATCCAAAAAAATAAAAACGTTCATTTGTACGTACATGTAAACCCGCTCCACACAGACCCGCTTCTGATAAGTATATCCACATTTATTGGTAGCGCGATCCATTTGATTAAGTATATATATATGAAAGCATAAGTTTGCTTGATACACTTATCACTGTGTTTTTATGTGGTTACTGTTTGGACTTTGGAGCTTCCTTTGTTTTTATAGCTTTAGGGTAACAAGTACCATTAAATTTAATTGTAAAAACAAACTAACTTGTTGCTAAAATTTCGAAAAACTTCTATTAAAACAAGATGGTTAGGAAAGGTCCCAGACAGTGCCATGGCCGTACAAGAGTTTGGTATCCCATCAGGCTTTGTGGCTGACCTTGACGACTTGACCCAGCTAGACAACCTAAAGAGAGTCGAGACACAAAACAAGAAGGTTATCATCTACTTCGACAAGGTCAGTTTACTTAGAATTTTTTACTCGTAAAGAGGGTTTCTTATGTAACTTTAGTTTCGATTTACAGATTCAAAGATTTTAATTTTTTTAACACTAATATTTTTCCGTCATAGGTAAAATTCTGCTTCATCAAAGGGAAACCGTTTAAGACATTGTGTTGTATCAGATGAAAAATAAAAACATTTTACGTTTCTTTAGTTTAAATTTTAAGTAAAAAGGTCTGTGTCTAAATGTGTTTCTACCTCCCAGATCGGCAGGACGCCCGTGTGTTTAAACCTTAGAGTCAGACGAGTTGATTTTGTTGCCAAGTCCCAGCCAGCTGCCGTCAGGGTCTATGACTACTATGAGCCACGTAGGTCACAGGTTTTACAGAAATATTGCTTGGTTTACGTTTATCCACTAAAACTTCATTAAACAGTTATACAATCAATGTTTCCCATTGTAGGAGGTTGAAATAAACGATATTTCATTTACATGTTATCAGAAATTAGACCACGTGAAGGAAGTATTTTTTTAAATAGCTAATTACACCATAATTGATTATAGATCTAGTTAACAATATGCTTCATTATAAGAATAATGCGTAAGACTTTGTTTTAGCAGATAAAAAATATAAAACATTTTATATTTTGTTAGTTAAAATTTGAAGCAAAAAGTTCTATTCAAATCGAACCGTCACGATCCCATTTCTCACTATCCCAATTGTTTTATATACTACAGGCAACCAGGTGACAGTGTTCTACCAATCACAACTTCTGAAAGACTCCACCATCTGTGACGTCTGCCGGGAATGTGAGAACTGTCAACCACCAATTGAACAGGAAGAGGTATTTTTAGTTGTGTATTATGTAGATTACGTTTCAATAAAATTACACGACAAAATATCATAAAAAAGGGATTTCTGAAGAGCTAAATAAATCAATTCGACGTAAAAATATGCATTGGGACTTTGGTCATCAATAATTTCACACTTACAGAAGAGACATATGTTCCTGATCAACCCTATTCTTTAAAATTTTATTTAAGGTTTTTTTTTTGTCAGAACTATTGTTATCTCTGAGATATTCAACCTCAATCTAACGGGGGGGGGGGGGGGGGGAACTATAGCTAACTCAATAATCGGGATTTAACGTAATCTAAAACTGACCTAGACTGAACTCGATCCCATATAAATTATATTTTTTTAGTGCTTAAATTAGATTAACGTTTTGCAGATGCGACACAAAGCTGATATTTGGTAAGTAGACAGCTCAGGTGCCGTAGTCACCTGGAAAAATATCAGATTCTCTGAAATGTAAAATTAAGGGGTTGTAAACTAACCAACCTGACCTCTGTTTATACATATTATTAAAGGGGCTTTATTGTGTCAAATTTAAAACTTTTTTTCCCCGTTCTAAAAATAAAAATTAAGAAATAAAACCTTTGGGTCAAATTGAAATTTTAATTTTAAATATATTCTAAAAGGTGTTCAACTAACTTTGAAAATTAAAAAAATAATGACTAACTTAGATTTGTTTCATGGCTGATGTAAACAAAGTAACTACGTCACTGGCAAGCAATGTGCTCATTCGTGCCCAATTATGTGCATTTTCTTAGTTTCTCTGGCTATTTTATCTTTCAACATGCAGGAAGTTCTTCTCTTCAATACAAAAACAAAATGCGTCCTATGGAAACAAGATAGTTGTCGATTAAAAAATAAATTCGTTCTACTGCATTATTATAGTTCGGCTATAGCTGTAATGATACATTTTTTATTAGGTTTAGATATGATTTATATTATCAATTGACAGATCTTCCAATTCGAGCATATGAACATTTTTTTTCAGTGAGCGTTTCACATTGTCAGCGACTTGAAGTAAAAGTGTTTATTTAGGATTTTGGTTTTCGTAATATTATGTGAACAACCAATCTCGAGTTCCTCTTGTTGATAGCCAATGCTAAAGTAGCTTTAAATACTTACATGATCTTCTAAAATGTGATCATAATACAAATCATTTATTCTCACAGGTCGTAAGTGGCGTATTGGATAGATGCAAAGCTATCTTCGATCGGTGTGTGGAAATAATCTTTGATATTATTCATCTTTTATAGCAAGGAAAATCTTAAATCAAAGAAAACTTGGCTTAATTTGTATAGCAAAGCTATCTTCGATCGGTGTGTGGAAAAAATCTTTGATATTATTTATCTTTTATAGCAAGGAAAATCTTAAATCAAAGAAAACTTGGCTTAGTTTGTATTACCTTTCATTTGTTTAAACCTTTTACTAATTTGTATAAATATTATAAATCGCTTTATTTTAGCTTTAAAATACCTAATTCTCTTCATTGGTATAGACTTTTAAACTTGCCAACAACGCTTGAAGAAATGATTTGCTTTTATGCAACATATATTTTCTTCCTTGATATTTATTTTCTTTCTGAAATTGTATTTTTAAAAATAAATTTCATTTGAACTTACTCTGGGTTGTTATTTTCTTTTGATTTTTCTAGAAGTGTCAGACAATTAGTTTTTTAAGTGGCCAAAACATCTAGACGCAGGAGCCAGTGGTCATATTGAACCAAGAGTGCAGATTAGCATGCTTGTGAAGGGGAACATGTTCCAGGCTAATGTCACATTTAGCCACGAGTGCATCATACCATGCAAGTGAAGGGGGAACATGTTCTAGACATGTTATACTGAACCACGAGTGTAGTATAGGAATAAAGAAAAGAAAGAACTTGTTCCAGCAAAATATTTTGAACGCATGAAATGTTTCCACTTGCTTGCCTACTCAGTTAACTTGTATATAGTTCAACATGACACTGGTCGGACATTGAACTCTGATTACCACCGTTGGGGACTTGATGTACTTCAAGCAGAGTTTCTTCCAGGCATCTCTTCTGGGAAGGGGAGGGGGTTGACAACCCCCACCCCCAAAATATCAAGTACCCCCAAGGAGAAAAAGGCCTGGAAGAAACACTGACTTCAAGAATAGGATGCCCCCAAAAATGTCTATTTCGTAAAGCAACGGATTAAATTATTTAACAAACTATTTCTATTTTATCCAAACTTATTTACATGTAATGTTTTTATTTTTACTCTTTTTAGCAAACACGTCGACGATAAAAAACATTTTCTTCTACTTTTGTTGCTCCAGCACTTAGAATTTGTAATCTGTCTAAATATCTTGTAACTTACCCTCATATACTCAATTGTGGAGTAATCACTGTTTTGACATAAAAACAAACAGAACGAATTTGATTTTGAAAAAGTACATTAATACGACTAGAAGTTACTGTTTTACCTTTAAATCTACTTTAAAGAAAAGCATGGAACATGCTAGTTTTTTTCTCGTATGCAGAGTTTAGATGAAGTATTGTAATCGTGCTAAAAGCCGCAGTCGAGATTTCGACAAAGTCTTAGTCTGTGTGTGTATGTGTGTGCGTGTGTGAACACGCTAACTTGAATACCTTTTCAGGCATGCTGAAATTTCATATGCAAAAAGTGCATCAAAGGTGTTGTATTCTATCAACTTCAAGTTCTTTCCGGTAACGTAAATAATACTTACTCTAATTCCGGTTTCTCCAAATTCTATAACTTGAGTTCCGTTTAAGTAATGTGGAGGAAATTTCAAACATAAGGATTAAATTGTAGGCGTCAATTTTTGGAAGTGATACTTTATTCTATTCCCACGTGAACATATTAACTAGACTAATTATTATTATGTTACTTATTATTAGAATTACAGGAATTAATATTAAAAAATAAAGATATAAGAATATACAAGAAAGTTTAAGAGAGCTCACTGCCGCTTTATTGTATCATATGTTGTATCAAACATCATCACCTACATTTCTATTTTCATTGCTATAATATAAATTAAATGTAGCTAAGACTTGTTGGATTTCTTTACCACACATCACGGAAAGTTAGGCGGACATCAGTGTTGTCTCTTAATCTGTCGCGCAGAATAAACGAACATAACCTGTTATATTTATTAGTTATTTAAAAATGGGCTCAATATAATACAGGCAAAGAAAATCATTTATTTTCGTCTTTTAGTGTCCATTTATATAACAGCTTGCTATTTAAATTAAAACATGTTTTTTCTATTTATTTTAAACAGTATTACCTGACAGAAAAAGAATTGCGCTCCAATTTAATGCAAATAATGTGTGTATAAGAGTGCGATAAAATTAGTACTATGTAAAGTAAAAATAATTTATTCCTAAAAATGTAATTAAACATTCAATTAGGTTAATTTTTCTCTCATATTGTATTGCCATCGAGTTTTGACCTAAATTCAAAAGAAATTGGTCCGTTGGGAGTGGTCGAAATTTTGCTCGCTAAGTTAAACAAGACGAAGAGAAACAACAAAAGCTCTAAGCACGAGGAATCGAGATAAAATCAAATCTTGCATAAAGCACTCGAACGATGGGGTTTATTAAACGTGATACCTTCCATATGTAAACCGTGTAAATACTCTTTATATCTTAGTCTTGAATATATCCAAAAATACTCAGGTGAACAAATAGGAAGTAGAATCGGTAAACATCCCAAAATAACGGTCAGTATCTGAATATTTCCACTGACCTAGGCACAGCTAATACAATCCTTGCAGACGTCACAGATGGAAGAATCCTCCAGAATTTCGGACTGGTAAAAAACCGTCACCTGGTTTCCTGATTAAAACGAAAACAAATTTTATTGCATCTTTTTATGAAATTATCTATCTCAATTTACAATATCTATATATATAATTCTCTTCTGGGAGCCGTTAGAAAACAAGCTGCAAGCGCCTCCTTGCAGTCCCCTCTCTTTCTCTCTATCACTATCACTACCACCCCACCCCACCCCCACATTGTCTGGTGAGCTGTGGTCACGCTAAATGTTTACAAAGCTAAATGTTTACAAATCGTAGAGCCGTAGAGCCGGGTTTCTATTAGGGGCAGATAATTTCTTTCGATTTTAAACTTACAGGAGCTAACTAAGAAATAACTAAGAGTAGGCTGCTTTCAACGGGGGGGGGGGTGTAGGGTCGGGGTTAGGGGAAAGGGGGGGGGGGGTTAGTGTTTTAAAGCAAATATTTTCAGTGGCAGCATTGGTACTGTCGAATTCACAAATTATGAATTACTAAAAAGTAGAAAATAAAACAACTAATTAGCGGCGTATGATACGCTGCGGGTCGGCTCGTATAATTTAATTGGATAAAAATGGATAAAAATACTAATTTTTTTCTATATTGCTCATGAAATTTTAAATTATATAGATTACACGTTTAGAATCTTTAAGAAGTTTAAACTTAACTGTATTGAAATTTATGTTTCTAAGTTTAAAACTTTTATTTTAATTAGTTGAAGCATAGTACGCCTTAGTTTGTAAAGGTTTTCTGTCAAGTGGTCTTATTACTATATATTATGTCATTTGAAATATCGTTTATTTCAATATCCGATAACGGCCAAAGATGATTGTAGAAACTGTTGAACGCTGTTTAAGTAGATAAACGTAAACCAAGCAATGTTAGTGTAAAACCTGTGACCTACGTGGCTCATAGTAGTCATAGACCCTGACGGCAGCTGGCTGGGACTTGGCAACAAAATCAACTCGTCTGACTCTAAGGTTTAAACACACGGGCGTCGTGCCGATCTGGGAGGTAGAGACACATTTAGTGTATAGATAGTACATTTTTAAAATGATTTTCATCCTTCTTAGTGAGCTACACAAACTGATTTATTGTTTTTTACCTGATCCTTTCAGATTTCAAACATTACGTATTTCATCGTAAGGCTTTTTCTATTTTATGTCAATGTATAATTTACTTTTTATCTGCTTTAACTAAATAACAGAAATAATTAGACATTTTCAAACTGATTAATAAACTATAATTAATTTAAAACAAAAGTATTTTAAAAAGCAGCTGTTCAAGTCATAAAAGCAAAGTAATAATATTCGTTTTGCAAAACACATAAGAATAAGTATTGCCTGATTGTATTTTATTTGCCTACTTTAATATACAATTCATGAACAAAACATTTTAAATGGATAAATCAAAATGGTTTGCTTTCGGGATATATTTTGATAAAAATATTGAAAGAGAATTACTAAATTGAAATTTAGAAATACAAAATAAATTCAAGTTTCATTATTTTAAAATTTAATCAAGTCAATGTTCATTATTATAAAACTAATAAACGAACGTGCTAAAGATATGCTTTTAAGAAAGATAAAAAAATTAAAAATGTTTGATAAAAAAGGAGAGATTTTTCAGATAACAAAAATTATATTTGATTTTTTTTTTAAACTTTAGCCGCCGCCTTTCCAAACTAAAAAAAATTGAAGAAATCATTTTAGATTGAAAGCGTGAAAAAAAAATCCCCTTTTCAGCATACTGACCTTATCAAAATAGAGAATGACCTTCTTGTTTTGTGTCTCGACTCTCTTTAGAATGTCCAATTTGGTAATACTCTCAAGGTCAGCATCAAAGCCTGATGGGATACCCAACTCTTGGACAGCCATTCCACTGCTCTGGCCATTTCCCCTCCACCTGATTTAACATTTTAAAAAAAAAAATTAATTAAACTAAACTTAAACGTATGATAAAATATTTTTCCTTCTCATATACTTTAAGTGAAAATACATCAGTCTACGAAAATTTAATTTTCATCTGTTTTATTTAGTTCGCAAATTATTGCCAAACAAAGAAAAACAAATCGATAGTATGTTAACAGTTAAACGCTATAACTACTTTCACGTACGCTGTGCAAGTCTCCAACACTAGTAGGTTAAGTGTCTCCTCTACAATTTTAACTTTTAGATCAAATGTAATGGTCTCTATTTCTGAGAGAACATTGAAAAACACGGCTGCCTATAAAAAAAATATAAAACAGCATGTGCAATTGATTCTGGGTTATAAAATTAAAACATGATTATAAGTATTTTTAATATTACAACACGTTGAACTACTATCTACAAAAAATGAGTCAGTTTTCAAACTATATTTTAAAATAATAAATCCCAAAAATGGGAGATATGTTTTTGTTGTAATACGTGTAACACATATGGTTACCAGCCAAGGGGGGGGGGGGGGGGGGGAAGAATGAAGTTTTAATTCATTGGGTTGCGGCCCCTATGGGACCGCAACTGAACTGTTGATGTAGATTTTTTTCATGCTCTTGTGAGCGATGTTACCTGTGTCCCATGTCATGTGACATGGGACTGTGGGTAGTTTCGTGCCTAGCCGTGTGAGTCACACGCAAGGCTGCTGTCTGTGGACACGGTGACCAAGATGTAGACCTAATGATGTTTTTTCTCTCTGATTTGAAATCGTCGTACTACTGTGTTCTGCATCGCCGTCATGGCTCGATGCAGTGAATAAAGCGAGTACTTGACAACAACTGTCGGTGTCAGTGTGTTCTAAATCTCAGGGTCAGCACGTCTTAACCACAACACCTCAGTGGGTAAAAGCATTCCCACTGAATGAGGGTTACATACGATTCCATAAAGTAAAGTAATACATAAACAAACAAGCTATAAGTGTATATGAATACTTACTTCAACTAAAGCTACACCTGAGCCACGAGCGATGATTGTTAATTTTGCTGGTAAACTTGCAATCTGTACATTTTGTATATATATATATATATATATATATATATATATATATATATATATATATATATATATATATATATATATACATAATTAGAGTACGTGTGTAATTTTGCTTAAAACATTTGAAAACAGAGTTTAAATTACAAAATTTATCAACAAAAGACAAAATATTCATACGGCACCTCGCTCGTCTGCACCAAAAGTGAGTTGGACTTGTCTATATCAAAGGTGAAGGTTGATGAAGCTTCAGATTGTGAGGAGACAGAGACGATGCCAAACCCCTGTGTACATCGATATATATATATATATATATATATATATATATATATATATATACATATACATATACATATATAAATATATATATATATATATATATATATATATATATATATATATATATATATATATATATAATATACATATATATTTATATTTATATGTATATATTTATAGGACGAATGATCTCACGGACAAAAGATACCAGGACAAAATATATAATGACAAATGATATCATGGACAAATGATTTGAGACAAAATATCTCACAGTAAAATTTTAATAGTAGTATTGAATGATTTTAATTGATCTGAACATTTTTATTGACTGTCATATGTATCGTTTACCATATTTAATATTGTTTATACGCCTATGTAATAATTTCAAGAAATGTTTGCCTCATAAATTTGTTATATCGACTAAACATTTTAACATTAAGATTACTAAAATATTATGAGAAGATTAAAGAAATTTTTCGATAGACAGCGTAAGTGGACTTGCCAAACCTAAGACAATTCTACCATATCAGGTGGACGAAATTAGATCAAAGGGAATAAAATAACAATAAAGACACACCTTGGTAACAAGGGATATATATATATATATATATATATATATATATATATATATATATATATATATATATATATATATATATATATATATCGACTATTTCAGGGAATTATTTTTAGGGACTGTAGATTGATTGAAACATTACCTGGGAACTGCTCTTGTTGGTACTAAAGCTGGATTTAGACTCCAGCGTGGCTGTGATGTGAAGCTTCAAGTTGTTGCTGTACGTCTGCTTGGCGTACTCACTCATGGCGTTCAGTGCCACGACCGTGTCCTACATAGAGAATAATCGTTTAATTCTAATTGGTCAACATAATATTGTGCAATATATGTTTTTGATTAAAGGTTTATGTACCATAGGGGAAGAAAATGTTTTTAAAATATTATTTTAGAAATTCAAAAATTTAGAATTTTAAAAAAAGGATAACATATGTTATATAAGCAATGTTGGAAAAGGTGTCCACAGTAAAAAAAACAATATAGTTTCAAATTGCCCGGGGTAGGAATATAACTTTAATGGCGATTCTTAAGGATTATATGGGAGAGTACGAAATAGTGACGTCTTACTTATACATTACATTTAAAAAGGTTTTTTTTTTGTTTACTAGTTTGAAATGTATTAATAAAATTTATTTTTTATAAATTATAGTTGAAATTAGCAAAGTTTCCCATAAAGACAAACTACTAGTACACAGTTAAAAAAAGCAATATTTTTTTTTCCTTTTTATTGGATACGTTAATTTATAATGGGAAATTGTATCAAATTTGCAACTTTAAAAAAAAAATTGATGCTTGTTTTGTGGACCTACCAACGTAACATGTCGTTTTTTGGTGATTAGATATTTTAACTAGAATTTTACAATAAGGATAGTTAGGAGAAGGTAGAAAACAGTTAACAAGATTAATTGAAGTGCTTTATCACAACTCAAAAACAATATAAGTTATGCAGAAAATAAAATGGGTTTTCAGCTTATACGAAAACATTTATCATAGCGTGCGTTGTATTTTAGGCTATAGTTAATCAAAAACAACTTTTTAGACAAACCTGTGTGGACGTGAAGCCTCCGTTGGCGTTTCTCTGTTTGGTGATCCACTGCATGATGCTCTTGCCCGCCACCAAGTCGCTCCGCTTTGTGTAGGTCAGCAAGACGTAGGCGGTCATCTCTATGTCAACGGCCTTGGTGGGGTTGGGGCTCTGCCAGGTGTAGGTAGAGGTCTTTGGTGGCTCCGGCTGGTGCCAGTACTTCATGCCGTCTGCGTAGAAAAAATTAAGTTTCTTTAAGTGTTAAGCGTGTCTGTCATTTTAGCTTGGCATTTAATAAAAACATTTTAGTGGTTAGTATTTTGTCAGTGGAATACAGTAATTTGCCAGTGGAAAATAGTAATTCGTTAGTAGAATATAGTAATTCATCAATGGAATATGGTAATTCGTTAGTGGAATACAGTAATTCGTCAGTAGAATATAGTAATTCGTATTATAAAAGTAAGTACCTTTGATTGTTGCCTTGGCCTCCAATTTGTCTAGAATAGCTTGGGTCATTTTGCTGCCGGCCAGTTGGAAAGCGTAAGACGCCATGGCGAGAACGTAGAGATCATCCATCTTGGCAACTTCCACTTCAGCGTAGGCCAGAGCCTTACGCCTAGCTTCGGTTACATTCTGGGAAAATAAAAATAGGAATATATGGTATAATCGAGGTTTTACTATTAAATTAACATTATAAGTCATTACAGCATCTATTATTTTTAACCCCTGACCTATCACTATAAAGTATGTAAGTCAACCGTTACATTAGAAGTCTAGAATTAACCTTTTACAAATTACCTTTACAAAATAAAAATCAATACCCCGACTTATCAATATGAAATTAACCATTTTCTCACCAATAAAAACTCTACCCTTGAGTAAAGCTTTAAAATTAATACATAGTTAACCAATTATTAAAAAGCACAAATGGGGATGAATTGGACACACCCTTCGATATTTAATGGAGGCGAGCGAATTGACAAGAATCCTTCCATAATGTTATTGACATGGAATAAAACGTTTTTTTTAGATTTAGCAAAAAAATCGAACGTAAAAATAATTTTAAAAAAAAATGCATAAAAAACGTTTTAATAACAAGCTTTTATGTAATGATGCACTAAAAAGTAGAAAATAAATTATAGACTACTACTTAAATAACTATAAAGAAAAGCGTGGGTGTCTTTCTTAACATTAGTAAAGGTATCCAATAGATACTAAAGTGACCCACGCTTTTCTTTATAGTTATTTAAATAGTAGTCTATAATTTATTTTCTACTTTTTAGTGCATCATTACATAAAAGCTTGTTATTAAAACGTTTTTTATGCATTTTTTTTCAGTACTTTACATGTTTTATTTACAATAGAGTTACATGACTAAAAACCATTGCGCGCCTACTGAACATCACGTTCAGTAGGCGCGCAATGGTTTTTGAACGCAGCCATTACGTGATGGCGCAGCTATTGAAGGTGATGACGCGTGTGGTGTGGTTGGCTAGACATGCCTACTAATTCGGTCCAAATTTTAATTAATTCATAAAAAATTAATTAGGCATCCAATTAAGTCAAATTTAGTTTCAGATTGCATTGTCTTCATGTCTTGACCCACGTGCTAACTTTGAATCGTATCGGTCAAGTAGAACTGTCCGAATTTTCACTCCTGCGTTTCCGTCTAGACAGACAGACAGACTGTCGAGGAAGTGAGTTAAATAAAAGCTTGTAAAAATAAAAACTTAAGCCTGAAATAAATTCAGAAATTTTATATTTTTAGAGTCTATGTTATAAAAGTTGCAAATCAAGAGAACTTGAAAATAATTTGTTGAGTTTAAGGCTACATTTCTATATTATTTCATCAAGCCTAAGTTATAACCGGTTGTTTCACTTTCGTAAGACAGATATCGATTAACTCCGTGATCAATAACTATTTGTTTACAAAACTTTGGAGAAAAAGTGTTTAAATAACAATGCAAATTTAAACCCCATGAACTAGTTTTCCTTTTTTTTCGCTTACAATGTATACAATAAAATTTATGACAGCCTATCGAATAGCAGGATGCCATTGTTTATGTCGCCATTACACGTGAAAACCAAATTGTTTTTGCTTTTGTTTTAATTTTTATTTAGTTAACGAAAATATTAAAAACATCAAATACATCCAATCTTTAGTAAAGTCCGAAAAAGACCAGACAGGCAGGATTTTATAACCATATTAATTGTAACTACGCCATGAATGATTTTAAATTATTTAATGGGCCTCTCAAATACTTTCTCACTCTCGCCCATTAGCAACATCACCAGACAGGCACTAGATTGGAATACCCAAAAAAAAGAAGATAGTACGTAGGCCAAAACGAACATGGAAAATGTCAGTGAAACAGAAGCAGCCGAAATGAAGAATGCCCAACTTGAAGAAATCGTCCAAAACCGAGTACGATAGAGAGGTGTGATTGCGTCCCTTAGTTCCACAAGGATTCCATATTAATGAATTTGATGATTATCAATTTTTTAAATTTAAAATCAACTCTTCTTACAAATATAAAATGAAACAACGAATTGTATAAAAGTTAACCCTTGACCTACCATATTCTCTCGGGCATCACGGTTCTCCAGAAGCGAGATCAGCACAAACAGGGTCAACCCGACCCCTGACCCAGCTTGACTCTATTTTCATACAAATAATTTTTAAGAAATAAATTTCAAAATTTTCGTATTTGAATTTGATTAGCAACTAATTAAGTCAATGTATTCTATAGTGTATATTTATGTATTGTTTAAATTCGAATGTAATTTGGTTTCCAAGAAATATTTTGGTAATTAATTATTTTAATTCACAATTACTGCATAAAAATAGCAACAAAATTTACAACTACAAAATAAAATATTTTCATGTATTAAACAGACCTGCATGGTACGGCTAAGCACCTCGCCAGGTTCCGGAAAGCTGCCGTCCGTATTTTGTTGCTGTATCATCCACTGGATGGCGTCGTTGAGGATGTTGTCATCAACAAAGATGTGACGTTTGGCCTGGTGGAAGACGCGGGCTACAAAAGCTGTCAGACTGTCAAGATACAAAAAAAAAACGTTACCAATTTTCTCAGAATTATGTAAATGTATAACGAAATTGTTTTACCTTGCCACGCTACAGGTATTACCTTGGATTTAAATTCATTGCATGTTTTCTATAATTGATACATTGTGTGCCAAAGTATTTTTTTTTTTAGAATTTTTTAATACCACCTACTAATCTCAAGTTGATATAACCCGATTGTGTAGATTCACTATGAGTAAAGCACATTACATGCACAATTTATTTCTCCAAGATTTAATTAGGTTAAAATTGTTAAATTTTGCGAACATTAAAAACGAAACGACATATTTTTAAAAAAAAATTAAAACCTATCACGCATATTTCACATAAACCTATAAACCTACAACATGGATCCTGACTTGTCTCCCTCGCCAAAAGCACTGAACGAGCCGTCACTGTGTTTGTAGGTCAACTGTCTCTGGTAGCCTGCGTGACGTCATAAACAATATGTTAAATAGACAATAGATTGAGATAGTTTAGCTGCTCTTACTAAAGATCAAAGCCAATCCATGGCAATCGCATGAATACAATTAGTTGAATAGACCTTTTGGAACTGTAAAATCGCATGAAAACAATTTGCCTGGATAGACCTTTCTGAACTGTACAGTCGCATGAATCCAGTTACTTGAATAGACCTGGCTGAACTGTACAGTCACATTAATACAATTATTTGAATAGACTTTGCTGAACTGTACAATCGCATGAATACAATTACTTGGATCGACCTTGCTGAACTGTACAATCGCATGAATCCAATTACTTGAATCGACCTTGCTGAACTGTATAATCGCATGAATACAATTACTTGGAAAGACTTTGGCGAATTGTTCACATAAATTCAACAACTTGATAGTTTAACACTTGTATTATGCACCAAAAACTAATCATGACCATAATATGAGAAAACTAGTCTACAAACATTGACCAAACACTTTTGTTTGTAACGTGTGATATATACAGATTAGAGAGGGATGATAAAGTTCCCTTTTCATATCTGACGAGCCATGGGGAAGGTGAAATAGAGTTCATCTGTTTTTGTGCCCTCTGCGTATTTTAGGATAGTGATTTCAGCTCTATGCCCAGCTGCCTTTACTTTCTTAACGTGAGTTAGATACCCATCGAAGCTAGGTTGAGTCAAGGACGTTCTACTGCCCTGACTCAAAGACCAAGGGCGATAGCGAAACTTGAAACTGCTAACTTTAACTAGAAAGTCATAATTTATACATCTCTCTATAAACACAGATATACTAGCATATCTTTGTTTCCAGTAAATTTGTCTTTTAAAGACCAGCATGGTTAACGATAAAGAAATGCTATTATAATGAAGTCGTACCTGTCTCCATAAATCCGATGGCCTTCGTCTTGATGTCCTCTCTCAGTTGATTGACGGCCTTAAGGTAGTCTGTGACGTAGACATCCGGTGCCAGACTGACCATGTTTTGTTCTCCACATCCGGTTGGCATCTTTAGCAGGGAGTCTAGTCCAGCGATGGTTGGACCCATCAGGTCACCTGATAGAGTAACAATATCTCACACGTTGGAGTTTTACAACACATCATTAACCCATATTATCCCAAGGTCTCAAATTTTTATAATTTTTTGATATGGTTTAGCTTTTGGGCACTGAATGATGGAATGACTATGGATTTTTTTTTTTAAATCAATAATTTTTTAAATATCGATTTTTTAAAAAACGTCCCATAAATGTGACGCTAGCAACGAACGGCCCCATGTACATTTATTGAAAAATAAAATCATTTATCACGAAATTTGGCTAATCACGCGAAAAGTAAGCTGTATACTGATTTTGTATTGTTAGACCAATGATTACATTGTTTAGGACAGCTCAAAATATTTATAATGATCAATTGGGTTAGCCATATCATGGTCTAAAATGCAGAAATTTTGTTCGAAAGTCTAGTTTTCTTTCAATCTAGCATCCATCAAAGTGAACAACACTTGGAAATAAGTAAAGCTGTGACTAGTACATCTAATTATACACACATGATCACAAATATTGTTAGTTTTCATCGAAACTGTAATATAATTAAATATAAATAATTGATTTTTTGGGGGGCGTACTTGAAATTTTCAGGGGGGGGGGTGAGACTTAAATTTCAGGGGAAGGGTGGACATTGGTAAAAGTATGTTTTGTATATAAATTCCATTTTGTTCTGCCCCCCCCCCTCTCTGAAATGATGCCTAAAAGAAACTCTGCCCCCAGTGAATTTGCAAAAGACGATCCGGTCCAGTCCCAGATGTCATCCAGCCATCTTCTCTTTGTTACCCTCGCTATTCCTACCCCCCCAGGCGTACATTAGGACATCAGACATCTTATTTTTAGGGCCCGGATCTGTCTCTGGGGGCTTGTATTGAGTGTTCATGGCTCTCATCCATGTATGCACCTCACTATGCGAACAGCTCCCAATCTAACACCAGGAATCTCCTTAAAAAGTCAACAAAGTAAAACTGATATCGGGAACCTTTGGAGGGGAATATTATTGGGGCATGACAACTGTACACAGCTAATTCACCTTTCTGCTATATGTAGCTTGAGCTCTCTTATATGAAGAGTGTTAACCAACCACCTTGACTGAATCAGTTCACCTAACTCGTGGCCATTGTTATTATTGTGGTTTGTTATAATTTTAATATCACGCGCTAGTAAATTTACAGCAGTGCTAAATTAGTTTGTATTCAATGGTATTAAATACTTCAGTAAGTGTAATTCTGAAAACTTAGAAATAAAATGTAAGTTTTTCAATATTTGCAATTTTTTAATACAATAATATATAAGAAAATATAGCTCAAGGTCATAATTAAATATCTATAAAAACTACTTATCACCCTAAAGTCAACAGTTAACAAAGTCAACCATTGTTTCACCATAAATAACCATTTAACATAAACATTTCCATCTGTGTTTCTCGCTAGTGTCCAATAAATGTGTCGTTTGTGTAACAATCTGCATAAATATAGGTCAAGGTCATAATTAAATATCTATAAAAACTACTTAACACCCCAAAGTCATCAGTTAACATAGTCAACCATTGTTTCACCATAAATAACCATTTAACATAAACATTTGCATCTGTGTTTCTCGCTAGTGTCAAATAAATGTGACGTTTGTGTAACAATCTACATGGGGCCATTCGTTGCTAGCGTCCCACTTATGGGACGCTTGTTGTACACTTGATATAACGAAGTAGTAAAAAAAAATTGTTATTCTTAAATTTTTATCAGATAGAAATATGGTACTGCTACAAGTTTCAAATGTATTTTGCACTTAAAATGATAATATTTTAGAAGATATGCATTTTCCTGTGCGCATGTTTTCTTTTTTCCGCCATTTTGACAAGTCCTGCAAATCCGGCCCTATAACATTTTTCTAAGTTAATTTTTTTCACAAAACACACAAAAATTCAATAGTCTAACCATTTTCAAATACAATAAAACATATTTTGTGTTTTAACTAGTTTTTAATTAATTTTAGCAATGTTTTTACAAGCGTCCCATAAGTGGGACGCTAGCAGAATATGGGTTAACTAAACAAACGAATAACTTGTTTAATTATGATAAGTATCATATTGTTGCTGTCGCTACCCACCAAAGGTAAAATACCGCAGCGGTTAGGTACGTTTCTGCTGCTACCAAATGCCGAGACCTGGCATTTTTTTACCCTACCCCACACCCTCTTCTACACAACTGACATTAATTGTTACCTCTCCCCCCCCCTATACACAATTTACAGCCATACCCAACTAACAGTTAAATAAACACCCACCCTCGTAGCTACACACAATACCTACCCACAGCTGATATTGTAGCATATTCAGACCCTTTGACAAAGTTGTTAGGCAGAGTGAGGTTAATGGACTTAGAAAAAGTTGGTTTGTCCTCTGTCAGGTCTATCAGGAAAGGAACATTGTATTCTTTGGGGACTCCTTCGGCCTGTGAATGAGTTATGATAATTACACAGGGGCATTTTGATAAACATGTAATTTTTTATTTTTTTTTCCTTTTTTTTTCGCCTCAGACACGTAACTTATAGCGTCAGTTGTGTGTTCGCTTTAGTATTACAGTTTTCATCATCGGCTTGTGAGGACTGATACAGATTTACAATAGTAATATTTCTTTCTTACTTGTAGCCTGCTTTCATTCATTTAAGATGGTTTACTTATACATAGATCTATAATATAATAAATTGTACTGTGCTGGAGTAGGCTATATTGTGTACCAGTGGCGTAGCAAGGTCGGGTGTCACCCGGTGCGGCACTTAATGGTGTCACCCCCCCCCCCCAGAGGCATAGAGACCCTTCCCATGGACAAACTTTCAAATTTTCGATTTGCACCCCCCCCTCAAACTTTCGTTTTGCACCCCCCCCCCCTCAAGTTTTCGATTTGCACCCCCCCCCCCCCCAAACTTTCGATTTGCACCCCCCCTCAAACTTTCGATTTGCACCCCCCCTCGAGTTTTTCTCTATATATTTTGCTATTTTTTGCCTTGGTGTCACCCCCCTAAATGGTGTCACCCGGTGCGGTCCGCACCCCCCCCCCCTCGCTACGCCCCTGTTGTGTACAAATTATTGCATTCTCCATAACTAAACATAAATGGTAACTTTATGAAACTAATATAAAAAGCTTTATTATAAGATTTTAAATGTACTGAAATTAAGAACATTAACTATATTGCATTCTTTAATAAATTTTTTGATCGCTCATTATTTCCCTAACATGTTTTAGAGACCAAATCTTTTATTTAAGGAAACAAATTAGTTGTTTTCTAATTTCATTATTTTTAATATTTATATTTCTCCACTGTAATAATGGAATATAGTAATTTTAACTTCAGTTTTAATGACTAATTTAATGCATTGTCATCAAATAAAAGGCCTCTTGGCAATATGGGCCCAAAAGTGGGTTAAAATTAAAGTGGGTTAAAGATTTGCGGAGCGGAAAAATTTTAGTAAACCTTATAAAACATTCAAAGTAAATATACAACGTCACGAACTAAATTAATTTGAACCATATATCAGACATAGCAGTATCAAGAACGTTAACCCATTCTTACCTCAACCAGGAGTTGTCTACGTACAGCGTCAGCGGCCTTGGACGACTGGGCCTTGACCTCCACGTCAATTCTACCAAGGTCAGCAGGGACGATGGGGAAATACACAGACTTGGCCTGACCAGCCTTGACCTTAAACAAACGTCAGATTGGCATTCATGAGTACACAATATCTAAAAATATCCCAGCTATGAGGTGACAACCAGCCGTATTGTTAAAAAAATTAAATGTTTCCTTGAATGTTTTGAGTTGAGCTATGCTTACATACGAATACTCAATCACTTCGCAATCCTATAAATGAATCATCAATAAAAAAAACCAACTCACCATAACATCCTGTACAACATCAACCTGTTTCAGCTCCTGGTTTCCTGTCTCGTCAATAAAAATGTTGTGAAAACGTTTAGACTTGACCAGGGTCACGCGTACCTGCAGTAGAAATAGTTAAACGTAAGGGCATGGGCAGTTGGTGTTATTAACAAGCTTCTTTTTGTTTTACTTCGCTTCTAGTAGTAATCATATCATCTTTTCCCGTTCGTGCACATGACATATGGGGCAGATGATGTAGAGTACATCTATTTCAGAGACCTCTGTATATGCAGGGATAGTGAGGTCAGCATTATGCCCAGCCGCCTTTACTTTCACTAACATGAGTTAGGTACCCATCGGAGCTGGGGGAACTCACGGACACTCTATTGACTTAAACCCGGATTCAAACTCGTGACTTTCGGGTTAGCAGTCTAACTTTCTACCACTAGGTCGCGCCGTCCCATTTTGGTAGTAATACTGTTGGGGATTTCTTTCAACACAATAAAATATTACGCTATATCGCCACCCGTTGACTCCGATTTCAACCTGTTTTTCTTTTTAATTTTTAAAAAGCTTTTGTCCACCCAAGAACATTATGCATGGCAGTAGCTCTTTGTTGCTATAGTTTTCCTTCAAAGATGAGTTGCTGTTCTCAGCTAACGAACCTCACCTGCACGGGGTGCGAACTCGGGACTTTTGGAAATACTATTATTAAAGAAAGAGTTGTAATAACTTTACCTTTATATCGTCTGCCAGGTAGTTGAAGACGTTTGCTTGAAGTGCCAGCTGCTCACCACGAGTCACAGAGTAGGGGAGGTTGAGGCTGACAAAAAACGGTCGGAAGACTTTCAGCTGGAGCAGATAATTGAAATAGAGAATGGTTATTTTGTAGCCCTATTTTTTGTTGTTGTAATTCTTAAAGCTATCCAATCCTAAATTATACCCAATGAGTCTTTGGTGCAACTTTAAATTTTGCCTTTTGTGCCCAAGACATACGGGGTCGCCGCAGAAAGCTCTCTTCACTTTTGTCGGTCTCCGGCAGTTTTCCTAGTCCTCTAAGACTGCTTCCTCTCTGTGAGCCTCAAAGTCTCACTTTAGCCTTGCTTTCTTTTTCCTTAAGGCGCCCAGTTTAGCGCCCTTCCTGCAATTTTATCTCTTCATTCTTAAGACAAACCTCATCAATTGCCAGCTTCTTTTCCGATTATTTCGGAAACTGCTTTTTAAACTTAGCACATTTAAAATTAGCAAACTAGTCTCTAAGGTACAGATTTTGCTGTGTTTGACTAACTTAGGTACATGAAGGTGTAAGCTAGTCATTACAATGTCCTTAAGTTCGCTCTTGACTAATCCTGTTCACGGTAAGAGGTGGGTTGACTCAGAGGCGTAGCGACCCTTCCCGGCGCCCGGGGACAAACTTTCAATTTGTCGCCCCCCTCAGGAGCAAATTATTAATGTGTATCCCCCCCCCCCCCCCCATCCCTCAAACTATTTATAATGCAAAAAATGCAGCTAAAATGACATTTAAATTTGTTTTTACAACCCATTTTGGCGCCCCCTAAGGTCGGTGCCCGGCGACATATGTATCCCCCTGCCCCCCCCCCCCCCCATCGCTACGCCTCTGGGTTGACTAGAGAGCCATATAGAAAGCTTGCTCTTATCGGCTTGAATAAGCGGCTTGACCCTGCCGTCTATACAGCAATGTCAATGTCGATATATTATGCTATATCACCGTACGTTTAATTTCTTCGCATAATAAATAAATAAGTGTTATTCATATTGTCAACTGACATTATTTTAGTATGTCTAGTACTTAAGACAAAAGCTGATTGGCTGTATCTATTTTAAGACTCACGTGAGCTTGTGTTGGGGCCACGCCCAGACCCGAGTTTGAGTTGATGGCGAAGGCGCTGACCACCCATGACGTAATGGTGTCTGGTACTGTGGCTGTGATGGAGGCGGAGCCGTCATCCCTTCGATAAAAATATATACAACAAAATATCGATTTAAAATTGTTGCATAACTTAGAAATGTATAATATAAGTTTGTTCGAAACAACTACAAATCCAAGAAGAAAAAATTCCGCTAGTTACTACACAAAGTTTAAGGCTTATATTTTAATCTAAAATTAAAAACATATTATTTTATTTTGTATAATACCATTAACAGTATTATAAATTAAGCTTTTGAAAAAGCACACTTTTATAGAAATATAGGCCTACATTTATAACACATATTTTTGAAAACATTGACCCAGGAGAGAAGGACCATGGGTGAAATAATTTATCAAATATCTTCTTAAGGATTTATCTACTCGCACAGCTAATAATATCCCAAGAATAACGTTACACCATCTTTGTAAAAACCAGTTGTATTACCCAACAAAAACATCAGACCAGAGCCAAGACTCAGGGAAGGTCATCCTGACACGGGCTGGTTCCATTAACGATTCTGAGGTCGCGGTGTTTTTTTCTGCAAGCGCTGGTTCAATGTTTGTAGTAAGAGACACAACTCTGCCAGTCTCGAAATTATCTGTAACATTAAATGTACAAACGCTGCATCCTTATAAACATAAATTCATGTCTAGAAAATTAAAAAATTATTATTTGTAAGATTATTGTTCATTTTTTAATTTTATCGAACGTAATGTGCAAAGAACGAAATAAAATAAACATAAATTTATAATCTTTCACAAAAATTAGATATATATTTCAAAGATTATACAAATTACTTCCCTATATATTAAAGATAATAAACAAAAATGAAACTTGAATTTGTGTCTATGACTCTGACTGTGTTGTGTTTATGTTTGTGTTTATGTCTCTGTTTGTGTTTGTATTCGTGCTCGTGTTCATGTTCTGTTTAAGTTTCTGATTGTGTAAGTAGCTATAGTTGGTAATTTTGTGGTTAGTTAGGGTAAGGTTAAGATTTAGTTTTAGTGCTATATATATATCTTCTTAAAATGTTACATACATTTAATTGAAAACTTATTCTTTTTATTTCCAAAACACGGGCAACTACGATATTTGTTTGTTAACAAACACAAAAGTCACGGTCCTTTATATATGTATATATATATATATATATATATATATATATATATATATATATATATATATATATATATATATATATATATATATATATATAAAATCTCACCGCCAAAAGAACTAGATATTCTCCGTAGTGGTATAATAGGTCTGAAGCCAGGAAATCGCCAACCTGCAATATTTTATCTATTATCTAAACTTTTCGTATTGTAGACCTAGAAGCCTTTAAAAATAATTACTTTTTAAAAAAAATTTTAAATAATCGCAACAAAACGAATGGTCTATATTATTTTGTAATTGTCTCGATCTAGGTTAGTTCGTATCATAACTTACCGTCTGTTACTCCAAAACTTTAGTACAACTACTCTGTTTAGATTTATTTTGTGTTTATCATCCAAATCGTAGAATTTTTACTTTCTCGTATACGAAGTATAGAGAAAATATTGTAATCGTGCCAAAAATTAAAATGAGATTTTTATACATCTCGTCGTTTTAACCTCCCTGAATCGGAAAAACTTAGTTTTTAAACTTTTTCTGTATATCTGTGTGTCTGTCTGTGTGTCTGTGAACACGATAACTTTAGTACTGTTTACGTTATGTTGACGAAATTTCAAATATAAGTATTATATGAAATTTTTAGCTCTGCTTCAATTTTTGAGCGATTTCCTGTAACCGGAAGAGTACTCACTATACTTCCAAAGTCAATAACTTGAGTACCGTTTAAGTTGGGTGGACGAAATATTTCTATCAAATTTTGAACGATTTTCGAAAACTGAGAGTGTTACTTAACTGACTTCCTTGTGAATACTATAAGATGAGAATTATTTAGTTAGGTAGAAAAAATGGTATTTATAAGTATAAGTATAGGATTTTATACTTTAATTACTTAAACTTTTCAGTGACCTCCGATAAGTGGAAGTGGTACTTTACTTTATTTTTGGTTTCTAAAATACCAATATGTTGAGTACCTATTCTGTTTGGTGAACGAAATTTTAAACATAGGTTTACAATACTATTCTCTTGATTCCCTCACATTTTGAGTAATTTCCAGTGGACGGAATTATTACTTTACACTATTTCAGATTTCTGAAAAGAGATGACTTCTACTAGACAGATTTCTTCAAAGCTTTTCACGTACATCTAGATTCGATGACATATTATTGTGACAAAAAATTGGGCTGAATTAGATGTTGTTTTGTTTAATTAATCAAAGTTACTTTATAAAGCACTAATTTTTTTACACGCAATATTTTCAATCCATTTTTAATTTCTTAAACTTTAAAAAATAGAATAGAATTTCGTAGAAAAAAAGAATTGCGCTCCAAGTGAACTCCAAACAATATGTGTATAATAGTGCGCAATATTATTAGTTCTTTGTAAATTCACATGCGTTTGTTTTTTTTTGTTGAGAAATCGGAAGTAGCGTAAATTACTACTATGGTCAATGGAAAAGTAGATATTATACTTATATGTAAAATTTCGTTATCTATCTGAAACACTACTCAAGTTATAGGCTTTAAAACAATTTAAAGTAGAATAAGCTCTTCTTCTGGTTACCGGAAATCGCTGAAAAGTTGATACATAACTACAAATTTGATATTATTCATGTATATGAAATTTCATCATCCTAGCTGTAACTGTATCAAGTTATCGTGTTTACAGACACACACACACACACACACACACACACAGAGGCATACGAATAAGATTGCAAAACTATGTTTTTCTGACTCAGAGAGATGTAAAACGTCGAGATTTCCAAAAATCTCGATTTTTTTTAGCACGATTACAATACTTTCTCTATACTTCCTATACGAGAAAGTAAAAATGTAGTATACAAAAATGTTCAGGCAGATCACTACCGCTTTATTTTACCCTTAAGAACTAACCTTATTTCTAACTTTTTTTGTTCTGTATAATAATTACCACTTTAAAGTACTAAACGTAGTGTAATTACTCTGATATATAAAAATAATAAAATAATCGAGCACTGAAACTCTAAATGGAAATAACCATTAAAAAAAGATAATGTTTTTTTTTGTTTTTTTTTTTACAATTTATGTGCATTGTGTTGTGCAAAATCTTTAAACTCGCCTGTGTTGTTTATTAAGTATAACGCTGTGTATACGACACTAAACCACTCACGTTTTGGTATGGGGCGACGATAAACATTCGCATCTGTAAGCACAACAACTCCTGCATTCTGTTAAAAAATATTGAAATTCTTTCAGATTTTAATTAAGCTAGTTGTTTTTTTTAATACAATTAATTAAAATTTAAAAGTTTCCCAACATTATTTATTCATTTATTAATATTTTTTAAAAAAACGAGATGGGAAGTAGAGTGCGCGACCTTTTATGTAGGCTCGAATTATGTTCAGGATAAATTGTTCCTAAATGGTTTTTAAAAACACCAGTAAATACAATTAATTAAATTGGTTGCTGTAAAAGCGGTCCTCTATGTTTAATTCTGGCATTTTACAATTTTTTTTTATATCACGAGAACACCAGAACGTATAGGAAGAGATAAACATCTCATCACCCCCCTTCCCCACCCGGACAGGTTAGAAGTGCTCAAAAATTCGCTGGCCCGTTTCGATCTAAAACAATGGCGTAGCTATGGGAGGGCGAGTGGGGTGCCAAAACCATTTTTTTTTTATAGTAACTGGCAGAGGCGTAGCTAGGGGGGGGGGGGGGGGCGGGGGGGGGGCCGCCCCGGGCGCCGACCCTATGGGGCGCCAAAAGGGGTGGGAAAAAAATTTTAAAGCTGATTTTATGCTACAGTTTTGAATTATAAACTGTCTAAGTTAAGAAATGTAATGGCTACACGCCTTTACATACTGATTTAACTGTTTTCTACCTTGATTTCTTAATGTAAAACATATACTCTTAAGAAACAGTGACCTGCAAAACCGCTTTGAAGCTTTTCCTAGATGGGGGGGGGGCGCTTTTCGAGACTTATATCGGAAGAATTTACACTAGATTGTTGAGTCGATAAACGTTACCACTATTAAAAGAAACCAATTGTATTAAAACGTATTGTACGATTGTTGAACTGTAAAATACGTTAGTGACTTTTATCAAGATGGTGCAGGGGGGCGCTTTTAGGCTAAATAAAATAGCAAAATTACACTGGATTCTGAGTAAACAACATTTAGCTCTCAGAAAGAAACGAATTGTACTGTGCATTGTATAATTGTGTAACATTTTAAAAAAAGTTAGTTACGTTAAAAACCGCTCTACAAACTTTGTCCAAGATGGTTGTGATGAGTGTGTGTGGGGGTGGGGGGCGCTTTTTTCGCTAACAAAAAACGCAAGTATTTGTACTGGATTGGTGAGTAGATAACTCTCTTAACACTTAGTCTTTGAAACCAAGTGTATTAACGCGTAATGTACAATTTCACTAGCCAGTTTTGTTAAAAAAAAAGACGCGACTAGTTCTTTGTAAGATTCTTACGATTCTCTCAACTTCAACGTGAGAGATCAGATACTTTTGATTGATTGCATTACATCTTACCTGGATCACTGAACTATATTAAAGAGAACTAAATATCACGGATTCTTGAATCCCTAAGCCACTAACCACCACTTTTTTCCATGCTCTTATTTCATTCTCCACTGTCTGTAATCTAGCTCCATGCCATACAGTAAAAGAGACCACATTTAGTTATAGATCCTGATTTAATTTTTTTGACAATGCATTTGAATTCCACATTTTCTTAGAGTGTTAAAACGCGTTTTATTGCTGCTGATTATAATCAGAACGTCATGGGCTATCATTAAATTGATTGTTGCTGCTTCTTTAATCAATACAATTAGTTCTGCATTTGTTGTTGACGTTGTGCGAGCAGTGTTTCTTCCAGACTTTTTTCTCCGGGGGGGGGGCACTTGAAATTATCGGAAGGGGGAGGCGGTAGACTTTCTTCGGGGGGGGGGGGGCGGACACTGTTAAAAGTATATATTTTCTATATATAAATTATATAAATTTCATTTCGTTCGGGGGGGGGGGGCGATAAAAAAATTTCGGGGGGCTTCGCCCCCTCCCCCCGAAGAGATGCCTGGAAGAAACTCCAAGACTACGAGCTGGTAACATCCGTTAGATTCCAGTTTGTTTTCTCTAGCTTGTTTTGTCATACCATCAACCAATCAACGAAATACCCATGTCGTATTCCAATGTGAACAATAAATATTTCTGATAACTTCTTCTTGTATGTCACTTGTGTGTCCTTACTCTAACAAACTTCGAATCCAACTAGACAATGTACCATATCACAACAGAGATCGTTCCAAAACTAGAACATAAAAGGCTGGTCTAAACATATTAGCGTTAGCTACAAACTACCTCTAACACAGATCAGGCTTATTTTTTTTTACTGACATTACTAATCTTTTGCAAAAAGAGTTAAATGCATCTTAATGGGAATTACATTGTCGTAAAGTTTTAAGGAATGAAAATCATACAATGTAATTATTAAACCTTGTCCGGACTGTAGCACACACGCTTACACACACGCTTACACACACAAATACACTCTTACCCACACACAAGCTTATATATAAACACACTATCACACTTACATAATTATACACACATATATATATATATATATATATATATATATATATATATATATATATATATATATATATATATATATATATATATAAGCGGGGGGGGCGCCAAATTGAAAGTTCGCCCCGGGCGCCGGGAAGGGTCGCTACGCCTCTGGTAACTGGTAAAAAGTGCCAACAAACTTTCTAGCTGAGGGGCGAAACGTTTTTTTTTTTACCCGCTTGAATAACTGTATCATTTTTAGAGGGAGGGGGTGGGCCACAGATTGATAGGTCGCTCCTGGTCCCTGAATGGGTCGCTACGCCTCTGATCTAGAGAGACAAAAGACGAATGGACAGGAAAACAGATAGACCGAAAAAGCAAGTTAAATAAAAGCTTATACAAAACGAGATGGGATGTTTATATGGCTTGTAAGTCTCGGTCTCGCTCGCTTAAAATTCAAAATCTCGTTGGCCATGAAGACACATAAATTTTCTAACTAAATCAATTGTTGTAAACGTGATTACCATTAATAATAAAAATAAAATAAAGCATGACGACTTGCTTCAAGAATTTCAAATACAAATGGTAGGTTTACCCAAAATACTACAATTATTTTTTTACTAATAGTAGCGGAATTAACAATCTATTTGTTTTTACCGATGCAATAAACATTACTTTTGGTTTAAAAAAAACTAGCTGGCAAGTACGATAACGTGAAGTTAGTGACCAACTTACAAGCCCTATATCATGGGACTGACGGAAAGTTCAGTACGATAGGATGGGGCTAAAGTGAACTAAGCTGTCGGGAGTAACAGAGTTCCATCCCGTAATGATTCTTTTATACTAGTTTTATGCCATTTTAGTTTCTACATTCAATTACTATTTATACCGTTTATGATCATGCCTTTGAATCTGTATAAAATTACAAAATAAATTTTATTATAATGTTGTTGCTTTTTTTAAATTATGAACCTAGAAATTATTTTTCTAACACACCTGGCGAGTTTAACTTTTTTGAACACAAAAGTTTATACTTACTGATCACGTGTTTTGTCACCAGAAACCCTTACCTCTAGAACCTGCTGTGCGTCACTGCCGCCATTAAATACTGGATAACCCCACCAGGGGAAATAATTATCGTGCTGTTTCTGCTTTTTTATAGTATCGTATTTCATAAGATCTGTATAAACCTGTTGATAGATTGTTACACCATCATAAGCTACAGTAGTTAAAAATACTAAATATTATATCGCACTCTTTAAAACGAACGTACATGTCATAGCGCTCACGGGAAAACCCGGTGAGCCAAATACTGAGTATTCTCAGCAACTCCCTAAAGTTTCAAGGCGATCGGATGAACAGTGTCAAACCACATCCGACTTTTATTTTTATATACAGTATATAGAGAAAAATCGCCGCCACTGCGAACTTGCATTTTGTTTCTTCAGAAACCTATTCTGGAATATTCTCGATAACTTCCCAAATTTTCTTAGCGATAGGATGAAAGGTGTAGTAATGCATAAAGGACACACACACACACACACAGATTCATTATATATATATATATATATATATATATATATATATATATATATATATATATATATATATATATATATATATATATATGTATGTATGTATATATATGTATATATACATATATATATATACATATATATATATATATATAAATTATATATATATATATATATATATATATATATATATATATATATATATATATATATATATATATATATATATATATATATATATATATGTATATATATATATATATGTATATATATATATATATATATATATAATTTATATATATATATATATATATATATATATATATATATATATATATATATATATATATATGTATATATATATATATAGCATCCTGTCCTTAAGTCCATCAGCTATGTGGATAGAAAGGGGTAAAACATGGGTATTTTGTTGTCTATAATTATTGTCTATTAGACTATGCAGTTATCTTATTATTTCATATGCTTACGTTTGTAGCTGTGACGTCGTTTCCGCTTTTAAGTAACAAAACGCTCTGGTCAATGGCCAATAAATGGACGTTGGAGTCTGGGTCAGCAGTGGTGATGACAGTAATATCATCTCCTGGTTCAACATCAGTCATATCAAGGTCAACGGTCACCTGTTTCAAACAGAATTACCTTGTTTATATATTCTAGTTAGTTGCTCAGTTGATACCGCTAGAGCAGGGGTCTCCAAACTTTTCAGTCCGAGGGCCGCATCAACTATCAAAGTTCAGTGCGGGGGCCAGGTTCTTTCAGGCATGTTTTTGATTTTTCTAGGCAAAGTTCCACAGCCATCAACAACAAACGTTTTATCCATGGACAAAAATATCTCCGCGGGCCAGATGAGAGGACATCGCGGGCCGCATCCGGCCCGCGGGCCGTAGTTTGGAGACCCCTGCGCTAGAGGAATGTTATAGAGAGTACGTGTTCCCTGTTTATATATTCTAGTTAGTTGCTCTGTTGTTCACTCGAAAGGTATCCTAATATATAAAAGCCCATGTGCGCAATTCTCTCTCTCTCTCTCTCTCTCTCTCTCTCTCTCTCTCTCTCTCTCTCTCTCTCTCTCTCTTTCTCTTTCTCTCTCTCTCTCTCTCTCCGCAATTTATTTTTAGGCGATGTGATCAGTATGTTCAGCGATATATGGAGAACTTAAAGATACGGACTCTTATTAAAAACAATATGGTGGTTGTTATAAATGTATAGACCAGGGGTCTCCAAACTACGGCCCTCGGGCCGGATTCGGCCCGCGAAGTCCTCTCATCCGGCCCGCGGAGATCTTTTCGTCCAAGGAAAAATCGTTTGTTAGTGATGGTTGAGGAACTTTGCCCAGAAAAATCAAAGACATGCCTGGAAGAAATAGGCCCCCGAACTGAAATTTAATAGTTAATGCGGCCCTCGGACTGAAAAGTTTGGAGACCCCTGGTATAGACTAAATTTTATTCAAAGAAGGAAAATAAAAATAAAGGTATATTGGAATGTAGAAACACAATTTTAATTATGCAACCGGAAAACGTTTATTGTTGTGAAAAGAACGCAATAAACAATGACGTCACATGCCAAATGCTTAAACTTCGGAAAGAACACAAAACTAATGGCGTTATCTTCCAATATAAAGCAATGACCTATTTCATTTAAATTTGAATTAGATCTATACTTTTACTTATCAAGAGATACGCTATGAAATATGTACAACTTTCTTGACCTAAAGTATTACACATTAATTTAAAAATCAACGTCAATACAATTGAAAAGCCGTGTTTTTAATGGAATCATTTAAGTATCTAAATTAGTATGTGCACTTAATATGGTGTTTTGTTGATTAGTAATGTATATAATTTGGGTTTTCCAATAGGTATTAATAGCCTTTGTTATTTTAAATGTTTTGAATTTTTAGCTATTTAGTTATTCCTTTGCTTTGTCACTAATATCGTTTGATGTGTAGTAAAGAACATTGCGTTTTGACCAATAAATATTTTATGAAATATTTTCTCAAACGAGTGTAACATTAAATTATAGAGGCATATAATTCACGTGTAACGGGTACCGGCGGCTAGTGTCAAAGAGAGTACGTGTGTACCTTGTTTTTGAAAGCACCGCTGATGTCGAAGCTGATACTGTCTGGGACAACTTCACCGTCTGGTCTGACGTAGTAGACGACGATTCTGGCAGAGGGCGCCATGCTGGGCTCAGAGACGATGGAGAAAGGGATGCTCTTCTGGTTGTTGCCATTTATTGTTCCAGATTTTACTATGTTGCCTCGTGATATCACCTTTCAATACAATATGTACAGAAATATCACGTTATACATTTTGTTTGATCAATGTCTGATGGAAAATTTCTTTACTGACAATTTAAATAATATACCTGATAAACAAGGGTCGACAATTCTTCAGTACCGTTGATGAAAAGTAAGATTGTGTCCCCTGCCTTGAAAAATGTTAAAAAAGAAATAGCTACGTAATTATGTTTGATGGAGAAGGGGGGGGGGGGTTGAGTATTAATATTATTTTTTCAAAAGAGCATAAACGTTTTTTTAAAAAAAGATTGTCAACACAACACTAGGTACAATTAGTGTTTTCAATTGCTAAGAAATAGATTTGTTATTAAATGTTTTCTCAAAATTTATTGACTGCGTAAAAATAGCTGTTGTAATGACGCTAATATCCGCTTTTGTTTACTATTTTTTTTAATCTAATGTCTGTGTTAATATACTTGAGCCATTGTTTGTTAGTTTAAACATTATCTTCAATTATTTATCATTATATACAAAGAAAACAACTCGTTGAAATTGAAATATACCGACTACAAACAGATAAGATTACAGGTATAACACAAAAACTTTCTGTGTTTCTCTTACTTTTATAGAAGATGATCCCAGGGAGAGTTGAATGTACGAGTTACTTGGTGAGTGACTCTTTACTAAGACCAATTTTTTGGACACTCCCCGGAATTCCGACTAGAATTAAAATAGTCAGACGCAATCCATTATAATCTGCTAAATAATTTCCAGTGTTCTGCATTTAATTCATTTAACTAATTATCATTTATTATCGTGTATATATATATATATATATATATATATATATATATATATATATATATATATATATATTGATTCTTTATTTAGTAAAGTAATCAGTCACCAAAAAAAGAATAAAGAAACAGCGGCTAAGAAGGCACGATAACCAATTAGAAATAAGAAGTCATAAAGCCTAAACACTCACTGTAATTATGACTTTGTGGGCGTTTGATGGTGTCTGTACCGAGATGGTTACCAGACCGTTGCTAGGGACGCTCAGGGTCTGTTCAGGAAGGTTTCCACCTTGAGAAAGACGGCCCCAGTAGTCGTTAACCCTAATGCTGACCTTGACTTTGTCACTGGTTGAACTGACCGGAAGTCCATCCGGTTGTGAGATTTTTAGCTGTCAAATTACAGAATAAGAAAATCAAATGTGTGAAACGATGTCTGTAAAAAATGGACAGCAACTAAAATAGTCTAAAAATTAAAAGGGGAGTGATCTCCCCAAAACTTTCTCGAATATTCTTATATAAAATAACAGGGGAAGGGAACTCGGGCTATAGACATGATTTTTAATCCATTTTAAATACTTAAAGTTTTAAAAATAGAATAAAATCTCGTAGACAAATGAATTGCACACCAAGTAAACGCCAAATAAAAAAAGTGCATAATAGTGCGCAATATTATTAGTACTTTTAAAATTTACATTAGTTTTTTGAGAAATCGGAAATAGCGTAAATTAGTACTTCCGGTCAACGAAAATTACTCAAAATTTGACAGAAGGTAGAAAATTATATCTTTTAGTTACATGTGAAATTTCATTTATCTATCTGAAATAGTACTTAAGTTATAGGCTTTTGAAAAATTCAAAGTAGAAAAAGTACCACTTCCGTTTATCGGAAATCGCTCAGAAGTTGAAACGGATCTACGATTTTGATAAAATACTTATATATGAAATTTCATCAACCTAGCTGTAACGGTTCTCAAGTTATCGTGTTTACACAAACACAAACACACAGACAGACAGACACACAGACATACGGACAAGATTGCAAAATTATGTTTTTCCGTATCAGTGAGATGTAAAACGTCGAGATTCGTAAAAATCTCGATTTTTTTTTTGCACGATTACAAGACTTTCTCTATACTTCGTATATACGAGAAAGTAAAAAACTCAAAATGCCCATTAATATATTTTTTCAAATCATGTACGATGTTATTAAAAATAAATATCGTTATAAAAACCTGACAATTAGGTTTGTGTCAGAGTTTACTAAATAATTGAATGTTTTTTGTGTTTTTACTTTTTTCGATAAATAAACACATTTTAGTTGTTTTTTTTTTAATTCCATAAAAATTTTGTGAATGTTTTTATTTTGTCGCTGAAAATGACAATAAACAAAACATAACTTGGCCATGTGGTTTAAAAAGTATAATTATTTTTTTAAGATTTGAGCACTAATTATTAGTGTGGTTTTTAGAACATCGATCACCGAGTACCTGTACAGCTATTTAATGTTTGTCTTACGAAAGTAAAGATTCCGGTTTATAACTTAGGCTTGATGAAAAGAAATAGAAATTATTTTCAAGCTCTCTGCATAGGCAAAGTATTGTAGTTACATTGGTGATGTACTATAAAGTAGACAAATAAGTAAAGTACTTACATAAGCAATGTACTGTAAAATACTTACATAAGCAATGTCTGCAAAGTACATACATAGGCGGTGTACTGTAAATTACTTACATAGCTCATTTACTGTAAAATACTTAGATTGATGATGTACTGAAAAGTACTTACGTAGCCAATGTACTGTAAAGTACTTACATATGCAATGTACTGTAAAGTACGTTCATAGCCAATGTACTGTAAAGTACTTACATAAGCAATGTACTGTAAAGTACTTACATAACCAATATACTGTAAAGTACGTACATAGCCAATGTACTGTAAAGTACTTACATAACCAATGTACTGTAAAGTACTTACATAAGCAATGTACTGTAGACCAGGCTTGAAGGTCTTGGGATTGTTCTCCGGGTACTCAAGTTTCACACCTTTGTCGTACATGGTGACGGTTCCGTTACTGGACACCTGGTTTCCGGTCAAAGACTCTGTCACATTGGCGATAATGATTAGAGCGAGCTCATCCAGTTCGTCTTGAATGCCCTTGACCTTCGACATTGGCACCGTCACCCTTATTTCCCCGTCAATCTAAAGAAGATAAAAATAACTTTTCTCTGTTCGCAATGGTCTTTCTTTTATTTTTTTTTACTTCTTCTTTGTTCGCAATTGTAACGCAGGGTGGGATTTCCCATCAACATAATGAAGGTTTACGGGTCAACCTGTTATGTGTCTATGCGCCATATAGAACGTAGACTCAGATTTCAGCGTGCTTCTATCTTTGGATTTGTTGCCATAACCTTTGTCCATTCAAGAACAAACTAAAAGGCAGAATTAGTTTTACTTTGGAGTTTTTACTCTCCATGATGAGTAGCTGTCCTCAGCTATCGAACCTTAGCTGCCGTTCTTTTTTTTTTAAAGACGTACATCCTTATAGCTAAATGGCTTTTTCTTTTACTATAAAAATGCTAACTAACTCTGCTCAAAGATTAGGAAATAAACCAAGCTCCTAAATCGATGGATAGCCGGGGAACTTTTATACCAATGTCTGATAATAGAATCTTTTTTTTAAACGGAGGGGGGGGGTTGTTGGGTTTCTGGTAGTTAACTAAATAAACACATGGCTTGCTAATGTCAATGTTAACCCTAACCCCAACCCTAGTCCTACCATACGCCTAAATCTAATTTCTAACCATAAAACTAGTCGAAATTACGATACTACTAACAACCTAACACACCTAATTTTGGAAGAGTCTATTATCATCAACCATCCGGATAGCCTTGTATCTTAAACACGACTAAAAACGTATAACTAAAAATGCTTTTGCCTCAAGTAAAGATAACCAGCATTGAGCAAAGGGTACTAAGCTACGTTCCTCAAATACCTAGATTGCCCCACCCCCTTTTATTGAAGTACTCAATGTACTATAGTACCTACAGGTAAACTGACTAAGTACACCGGTGTCGCCATCGAGTAGTCTGATGTACCGCGACTTTCGTGTAATTTTACTTGGACGTTGGCGTTTCCTTTTACGGGTTTACCATAGGTGTATCTGTAGGAAATACAAAATTTGAGATTTTAAATTTATATAAAGTTTATTCATAGTTTGTATAGGATCCAAGGGGATATTAAAGTTGAACATGAATTTTAATTCATAAAAAAAATTAAATTAATGAACGCTTTTCAGATCTTGAGAAAAGACCATTTCTACAAGTACCACGATTAAACGCGTGTCTATTTTAAAAAAAAACACATTTGAAAATATCAACAAAAATAAACTCACTTGGATTTAACGGTAAACATGACGTCAGAATCGCCGGTTAAAACGTACGAGGGCATAATAACCTCAACATCAAATTGGGGAAGGACTAAAAAAATGTTTAAAAATTTATTTATTTTATTGCATACCAACAAATTAGCTACTAAAGTAGAAATAAAATAATTCCGTAGTTTAGCATTCATACTACTGTTACTGATTTTCCTAGCTCTTTATGTTAAAATCGTGTTTTAAGCAACAAATAATTTTTAGATTGTTCTCAAACGACACGATACTAACACATAGAACAGTAGGCCTACATTGAGAACTAGAAACCAAGGGGACTGAAACTATTCAGTAACTGCACCTTTTAAATATGGTAAGAACAAATAGTTTACCATATTCAGCTATCGTGAATGCTTTCTCTTCTTTCATGGTCTGAAAACAAATTTGAAAAAAACATCTGTTCAGTGAAGATTTGATACATATTTATATATTTAATTAACAAGCGTAGTTTGCTCAAAAAACTTTACCGATTTGTCAAGTGGAAAGTCATGGCGCAGTAGAATTTATTTATTGCTATTAATATTTTGAAGACAAAAAACAACAAAAAAAAAAAATAAGTTTTCTACTTTTGAGAACAATTAGATTTTGTGTTAGAGTTCTTAGCTGTTCCAATGTGGTATGATTTTTAAAATTCCTAAATATAGGCGATCGATGGGGGTTTAAGCTTTCGTATTGTTATACGTGATAGAAGTACACTAGTACAGCATTAATATAGCACAAACTCAAACATTTCAAAAAGTGGACATATGGGGTTAATCAGGCGTGGTTACATATTGTTGTTAAATGTAGAAACGATTGTTTGTCATACAGACCAAAATCGTTGAATGGCTAAAACCAAAAATACATTAAAGAAAACATTGAAAAACATTTTACGCCAGCTTCCACGACAACTTTCCAGTCTCCAAGAACTGGTTGAGACGACAGCGTCAGCTTCTGAGTGAAGACGCCTTCCTCTGCAGTGACCTTGACCCATTGTTTGATCTTGTTGTTTTGCGCGTCCTGTACCAGAATCAAATAGATCACGTAAGTTCGTGTATAGCCTACCTGTACCAATATGCAATTCTTAAACACGTGGGGTTTTTTTATACTGATTTACAAAGGTGGCATAACAAAGTACTCACAAAAATGGAAATGTCCATTGTTCCTTTGTACGACTGCAAGTCAGAATACACGCCAAACACTCTAAACTTCACTAGGAATAATAAATATAAAATATTTTTCTCAAACTTTCACTTTACAAAATCGTCGGGAGCGACGAAACTCCAGTTTGTATGGATGGAATAAGCGTAAATACTACTAGCAGTGAGGAATATATTGTAGCGATTTTTCTTCTTCTTCGTTCTTAATTTTGAATGTTGGAAGAGTTTCCCTCCAATATAATCAAGTAATACGTGTCAACTGGTTATGACTCCGATATCATTCTGCTTTTGTTTTTGGATTTGCTTCCATAGCCTTTACCCAACCGAGAACAAACTAAAAGGCAACAGTTGTTTGATTTTGGAGTTGTCTCTCCTAAAAGAGTTGTTGTCCCCAGCTTTCGAGCCTCATCTGCCGGGGGATTCGAAATCGATATAATCTTGAAGTTCAAGACAATCACAAGTACTGTTGACTTTTCTAATTGAGGTCTTCATTAGCACATACCACATAGCCTAGAAACGGTAATATAATTTTGTTGCAAGATTTTTAAAAGTTCGCAATCAGTAACACAATTTATTCTGTATATATTTAAATTTCGAAACATTCTACCTACCTGTATCACTAGGCTTAAAGATGGCCTTATTCAGCTGTATAAACAACGAAGCCTCTTTGCTGTTGTAGCTGAGACTCTCAGACTCGTAAAACACCAAACCACCGCTGCCAACGACTTTGAGCATGTAGCCGCTGTTGGGCAGGTCAGCGGGCAGCTGGGGAAAGATATCCCTTTTGTCAATGTCTTTATTGTACTAAACTTCTAGCCGGAATGCCGTTTGCCCGAAGGCCGATTTTCCCGAATGGGACAAATGCCCGAATGGACACTTGCCCGAATGGGACAAATGCCCGAAAGCTACTTGGCCGAACACTCGAACACTGGTAAAAATTCCATTTCGTTGGGGAGGGGGGGGGGGGTGGAGTAGACTTTCTTCGCTCCGCGCCTACCACCTCCCCTCGAAGAGATGCCTGGAAGAAACTCTGAGACTATTTGTTACTGTAGCGGAGAAGGCTGCCTGGTCAAAGACTAAACCATCGCTGCCACAGACTTTGAGAAAGTAGTAGTCTCTGGGCAAGACAGTGGGCAGATGTGTGTGTGTGTGTGTGGTTGGAGGGGATTGCGTGGGGGAGGAATTGAGTGGGTCAGAAATTATTCAGGATAGAAAAGATAGATTATCTAAAATATTATGGCAATTATACAATTTTCAAATTAAAATCGTTCATTAATCTTTGACTCACTTTTATGTTGATCATACCAGGGAAACCTGCGAATGAGAAAATACACATTTCGATATTGTCATTTTAAATTATGGTGCTTATTATTATAAATACTTATTTGTATTTGCCTTCCATATATGACATCGTCGTGTAATTATCGAAGAGAAGTTAACTCACCCGATTTGAAGACTTTCTCGGCGCTAGCCACAAGAGTGTCTTCCATTAGAACTTTGGCGACGACCCTGACGTCACTGGTGGCCTTGAGAATGTTGACGCTGACGGTGAAGTCCATGTTGGGGCGGATCGTTGACGGGGCGATGACGACATACGAGCTGGAACGTTAAAAAATGAATATCATTTATCTGTTTCTTAAATTATAAACTAAAAAATATATTTTAAGAGCAAGAAATTTTTACTTTATAATCTTTGTGACAAAAACATTCGAGACTTTAACCGGTTAAGTGGATAAAATGGCCCCCGAAAATATATCATTCAACAAAACGCCCCAAACAGTGATGAATGTGAATAATGCTGTTGTTGTTATTGTTTTTGTTATTTTAAAAACAGATATACAAAACTTTATTAAACTTTAAGCTAATTTTTAAAACTTAAACAATACCTAAATTTAAAAATTAATAAGGTTTATCTGCTGATTAGGCTAATTAACCTTTCACCCCCACTTACTTTTGTGCACACACGGCGGTGACAACCGCTGTGAGAAGAAGGAATAACCGCATGTTGTTGCCTGGAAACAGGAGAGACAAACATTATTACAGTAGGGATAACTCGGAAACTATACAAATACATTATTTAGATATTATATTTGCAAATTTGTTAAAGTTTTACTTAAAACCATAACTAATTAAAGTTTAAGTGTTAAAATTGATACAGTTTATTAATTTTGTACAGTACTATTTCTTTTAAAACTTTACAAGCTAGCTTTATAAATCATCATTATCATTTCCCAAGACAAATGGGACAGATGAAGTTGAGTCCTTCTGCTTCGGAGACCTCGGTATATGAAGGGATAGTGTGGTCAGCACTATGCCCAGCCACTTTGTTTTCGTAACTTGTTAGGTACCCATCGGGGCTCGGTGGATTCAGGTACGTTTTACTGATTTGAACACGGGTTCGAACTCTACACTCGCGGGTTAGAAGTCTAGCACTCTACCACTACGCCACGCCGTCCCATAGGCCTTTATTATTTAAATACAAAAATTTTAACTTTTTTTTTCTAAAAATGTACTGTAATTCTACACTGCATTTATTTGAGCTTAACCTTAACTAAAATCGTCTTACCTATGCAGTCTTTCTCCCTGTATGCAATCTGGTTAAATCTTATGAGGAACTGTAGCCGTACAGCTGTTTCTTTATAATTAGACGTCGAGTAGCGCAAATGATCTAACCCCTTTACCGTCTTCATTCAAACTGAATCAATTGTGCCCATTTAAGTTTATTTAGAGTTAATTAGTGACTAACTAAAATCGACCAATTGCGATGCTCGTTACAATAAACATGTAATTAAAAATTGATTTTGTTTGTTAAGTTAGGTTGTTGGGTCTAATTTCTTACGTAGAGTTTAGTATGCTGAGCATGAGTTATTCAATAAAATCTTCTCGTTAGATTTCATACTTTCTACACAGTCGCATATCTGACGTTCATTTCTATAGCTTATTTAGATATGTGTTACTTCATGAATAGGCTGAATACGTTGAGTATGTCAATACCATTTCCAACTTTGAACACCGATCTCAAAGATAAAAAAATTTGAATAAATAACAAAGATGAGTTGAGTTGGACGAGATGGTCTGATGGTAGAGCATACGACTCCTAACCCGAAAGTTTCGAGTTCGGATCCCGGGCTCGAGAATATGAGATGTCCATGAGTACAACCAGCTCTGATCGGTACCTGACTCACGTTATTGAAAGTAAAGGTGGCTTGGCTGACCACACTATCCTTTTATTCGCCGAAGTCACAGAAACAAGTTAACTCTACCTCACCTGCCCCAGGTTAAAAAAAATCGTGCGCTCCACTGCCCTACCACTCAGTCCCGATAACCTTAGCACACTTGCAATCACATGACGCTACTGAACTGCTCGTCTAGGTCGATACTCACCTGGGGTTTTCAATGGAGGCCAAGGGAATCCTGGACAAGGGAATATGGAAGATGGGTGGTGGATAGTGGATGGTGGATGGTGGATGGTGGATGGTGGATGGTGGATAGTGGATAGTAGATAGTGGATAGCGGATAGTAGATAGTGGATAGTGGATAGTGGATAGTGGATAGTGGATAGTGGATAGTGGATAGTGGATAGTGGATTGTGGACAGTGGATAGTGGATGGTGGATACTGGATGGTGGATGGTGAATGTTGGATGGTGGATAGTGGATATTGAATATTAGATACTGGGTGATGGATAGTGGATAGTGGATAGTGGATAGTGGATAGTGGATAGTGGATAGTGGATAGTGGATAGTGGATAGTGGATAGTGGATAGTGGATAGTGGATAGTGGATAGTGGATAGTGGATAGTGGATAGTGGATAGTGGATAGTAGATAGTGGATAGTGGATAGTGGATAGTGGATAGTGGATAGTGGATAGTGGATAGTGGATAGTGGATAGTGGATAGTGGATAGTGGATAGTGGATACTGGATACTGGATACTGGATAGTGGATACTGGATACTGGATAGTGGATACTGGATACTGGATACTGGATACTGAATACTGGATACTGGATACTGGATACTGGATACTGGATACTGGATACTGGATACTGGATACTGGATACTGGATACTGGATACTGGATACTGGATACTGGATACTGGATACTGGATACTCGATACTGGATACTGGATACTGGATACTGTATACTGTATACTGGATACTGGATACTGGATACTGGATACTGGATACTGGATACTGGATACTGGATACTGGATACTGGATACTGGATACTGGATACTGGATACTGGATACTGGATACTGGATACTGGATACTGGATACTGGATACTGGATACTGGATACTGGATACTGGATACTGGATACTGGATACTTTATACTGGATACTAGATACTGGATACTGGATACTGGATACTGGGTACTGGGTACTGGATACTGGATACTGGATACTGGATACTGGATACTGGATACTGGATACTGGATACTGGATACTGGATACTGGATACTGGATACTGGATACTGGATACTGGATACTAGATACTGGATACTGGATACTGGGTACTGGGTACTGGATACTGGATACTGGATACTGGATACTGGATATTGGATAATTTATACTGGATACTGGATACTGGATACTGGATACTGGATACTGGATACTGGATACTGGATACTGGATACTGGATACTGGATACTGGATACTGGATACTGGATACTGGATACTGGATACTGGATACTGGATACTGGATACTGGATACTGGATACTGGATACTGGATACTGGATACTGGATACTGGATACTGGATACTGGATACTGGATAGTATTTTATTCAAATTTCTTTACCTGTAATGTTTTTATATCTACTCTTTCTAGCAAACACTTCGACGCTATCCAATTAAACCCAATGTCGTATAACACATCTATTTATTTTTAATTAAAAAAACAATGATACTTTTTCTATTTCCACGTAAACACATTAACTTGACTACTGTTTCAGAAAGCTCGAGGAAATTGTGTATTAAATAGTAATATCTTATACTTAGATTACTTTTAATTTTGAGTGAAGCCGTCCCCCCTCCCCCTCCCCCCCACCCCACCAATATACATTATAGGTAAATTAATATTTTTCCTGTTTCTAAAATACCGTAATTTGAGTATCCTACTGTTTCACTTAGTAGGCAACGATTTAAATATAAATATAATCCTCTGCTCATAGAAATTCCATCAATTTTTGAGCGATTTACAGTAAGTAAAAAGTTCTTTACTCTATTTTCCATGTCTCAAACTTTTTCAGATATTAATTGTATTTTTTTCATATTGCCATAAAGTATATTCCCAGAGCCTTTCGACTTTATGTGTTTTCTCGAGAAACGAGCTGTTTTGTCTTAGACTTATATATTTCACTAAGAATATGTTACTTATTATTATAATTATTTGAATTAATATTTAAAAAATAATTGTATAAGAATATACGAGTAAGTTTAGCAGAGCTCACTGCCGCTTTATTGTATCATATTTTGAAACATACTTCATCAACTACATTTATATTTTCAATGTTTTAATATGATATAATGTTGGATTTCTTTACAACACATCACGGAAAGTTGAGCTGACATCAGTGTTGTCTCTTAAAATCTGTCGTGCATAATAAACAAAACAAAAAAAAACAAGTCTATATTATTTAATTATTTGAACAATGGTTCATTATAAAGAAAATAAATTATTTTCTTCTTTTTAGTGCACATTTATACAAAAGCTTGTTATAAAAAAAACGTTGGTTGGTTTTTTTTTTTTTTTTTGGGTTTTTTTTCAATCCTTTAAATATTGTACATATAGTATAATTGTAAAAATTACCCTTAAAAGAATTGCGCTCCAAATTAATGTAAATGATGTGTGTATAAAAGTGCGATAAAATTATTACTTTGTAAAGGAAACATAATTTATTCACAAAATGTAATTAAACATTCAATTAGCGTAAATATTCTCTCACATTGTATTGCCATCGAGTTTTGACCAACTTGCTAAATTCAAAAGAAATTGGTCCGTTGGGAGTGGTCAAAATTTGGCTTGCTTGGTTAACCAAGACGAAGAGAAACAACAAAAGCTCTAAGCACGAGGAATCAAGATAAAATCAAATCTTGCATAAAGCACTCGAACGATGGGGTTTATTAAACGTGATACTTTCCATATATAAACCGTGTAAATACTCTTCATATCTTAGTCTTGAACATAGACAAAAAATACTCAGGTGAATACCACCGTGTCTATTAGACACATAGGAAGTAGAATCGGTAAACATCCCAAAATAACGGTCAGTACCTGAATATTTCCACTGACCTAGGCACAGCTAATACAATCCTTGCAGACGTCACAGATGGAAGAATCCTCCAGAATTTTGGACTGGTAAAAAACCGTCACCTGGTTTCCTGATTAAAACGAAAACAAATTCTATTGCATCTTTTTATGAAATTATCTATCTCAATTTACAATATATAATTTAATTGGATAAAAATGCATTAAAAATACTAATGTTTTTTCTATATTGCTCATGAAATTTTAAATTATATAGATTACACGTTTAGAATCTCAAAGAAGTTTAAACTTAACTGTGTTGAAATTTATGTTTCTAAGTTTAAAATTTTTATTTTAATTTTTGAAGCATAGTACGCCTTAGTTTGTAAAGCTTTTCTGTCAAGTGGTCTTATTACTATATATTATGTTATTTGAAATATCGTTTAGTTCAATATCCGATAACGGCAAAAGTTGATTGTAGAAACTGTTGAACGATGTTTAAGTAGATAAACGTAAACCAAGCAATGTTAGTGTAAAACCTGTGACCTACGTGGCTCATAGTAGTCATAGACCCTAACGGCAGCTGGCTGGGACTTGGCAACAAAATCAACTCGTCTGACTCTAAGGTTTAAACACACGGGCGTAGTGCCGATCTGGGAGGTAGAGACACATTTAGTGTATAGATAGTACATTTTTTAAATGATTTTCATCCTTCTTAGTGAGCTACACAAACTGATTGATTATATTTTTTACCTGATCCTTTCAGATTTCAAACATTAGGCTACATATTTCATCGTAAGGCTTTTTCTATTTTATGTCAATGTATAATTTACTTTTTATCTGCTTTAACTAAATAACAGAAATAATTAGACATTTTCAAACTGATTAATAAACTATAATTAATTTAAAACAAAAGTATTTTAAAAAGCAGCTGTTCATGTCATACAAGCAAAGTAATAATATTCGTTTTGCAAAACACATAAGAATAAGTATTGCCTGATTGTATTTTATATGCCTACTTTAATATACTTTACATGAACAAGACATTTTAAATGGATAAATCAAAATGGTTTGCTTTCGGAATATATTTTGATAAAAATATTTAAAGAGAATTACTAAATTGAAATTTAGAAATCATGTTTCATTATTTTAAAATTTAAAAATTTAATCAAGTCAATGTTCATTATTATAAAACTAATGAACGAATTTGCTTTTAAGAAAGAAAAAAAATATAAAAAAACGTTTGATTGGAAAAAAGGAGAGATTTTCAGATAACAAAAATTATATTTGATTTTTTTAAATTTTAAAAACTTGAGCAGCTGCATTTCCAAACTAAAAACAAAATTGAAGAAATCATTTTTAGATTGGTAAAAATAAAAATCACCTTTTCAGCATACTGACCTTATCAAAATAGAGAATGACCTTCTTGTTTTGTGTCTCGACTCTCTTTAGAATGTCCAATTTGGTGATACTCTCAAGGTCAGCATCAAAGCCTGATGGGATACCCAACTCTTGGACAGCCATTCCACTGCTCTGGCCATTTCCCCTCCACCTGATTTAAAAATTTAAAAAAAAAAAATTAATTAAGCTAAACTTAAACGTATGATAAAATATTTTTCCTTCTCATATACTTTAAGTGAAAATACATCAGTCTACGAAAATATAATTTTTATTTGTTTTATTTAGTTCGCACATTATTGCCAAACAAAGAAAAACAAATCGATAGTATGTTAACAGTTAAACGCTATAACTGCTTTCACGTACGCTGTGCAAGTCTCCAAAATTAGTAGGTTAAGTGTCTCCTCTACAATTTTAACTTTTAGATCAAATGTAATGGCCTCTATTTCTGAGAGAACATTGAAAAACACTGCTGCCTATAAAAAAAATATAAAAGAGCATGTGCAATTGATTCTGGGTTATAAAATTAAAACATGATTATAAGTATTTTTAATATTACAAAACGTTGAACTACTATCTACAAAAAATAAGTCTGTTTTCAAACTATATTTTAAAATAGTGAAATCCCAAAAATGGGAGATATGTTTTTGTTGTAATACGTGTAACACATATGGGGGGGGGGGGGGAAGAATGGGACCGCAACTGAACTGTTGATGTAGATTTTTTTCATGCTCTTGTGAGCGATGTTACCTGTGTCCCATGTCATGTGACATGGGACTGTGTGTAGTTTCGTGCCTAGCCGTGTGAGTCACACGCAAGGCTGCTGTCTGTGGACACGGTGACCAAGATGTAGACCTAATGATGTTTTTTCTCTCTGATTTGAAATCGTCGTACTACTGTGTTCTGCATCGCAGTCATGGCTCGATGCAGTGAATAAAGCGAGTACTTGACAACAACTGTCGGTGTCAGTGTGTTCTAAATCTCAGGGTCAGCACGTCTTAACCACAACACCTCAGTGGGTAAAAGCATTCCCACTGAATGAGGGTTACATCCATAAAGTAAAGTAATACATAAACAAACAAGCTATAAGTGTATAGGAATACTTACTTCAACTAAGGCTACACCTGAGCCACGAGCGATGATTGTTAATTTTGCTGGTAAACTTGTAATCTGTACATTTTGTATATATATATATATATATATATATATATATATATATATATATATATATATATATATATATAATATATATATATATATATATATATATATATATATATATATATATATATATATATATATATATATATATATATATATATATATACATAATTAGAGTACGTGTGTAATTTTGTTTAAAACATTTGAAAACAGAGTTTAAATTACAAACATTATCAACAAAAGACAAAATATTCACACGGCACCTCGCTCGTCTGCACCAAAAGTGAGTTGGACTTGTCTATATCAACGGTGAAGGTCGATGAAGCTTCAGATTGTGAGGAGACAGAGACGATGCCAAACCCCTTTGTACATCGATATATATATATATATATATATATATATATATATATATATATATATATATATATATATATATATATATATATATATATATATATAATACATATATATTTATATTTATATGTATATATGTATAGGCAGAATGATCTCACGGACAAAAGATAATAGGACAAAATATATAATGACAAATGATATCATAGACAAATGATCTCACAGTAAATTTTTAATAGTGTATTGGATGATTTTAGTTGATCTGAAGGTTTTTATTGACTGTCATATGTATCGTTTACCATATTTAATATTGTTTATACGCCTATATTATAATTGCAAAAAATGTTTGCCGCATAAATTTGTTATATCGACTAAACATTTTAACATTAAGATTACTAAAATATTATGAGAAGATTAAAGACATTTTTTAATAGACAGCGTAAGTGGACTTGCCAAACCTAAGACAATTCTACCATGTCTGGTGGACGAAATTAGATAAAAAAGAATAAAATAACAATAAAGATACACCTTGGTAACAAGGGATATATATATATATATATATATATATATATATATATATATATATATATATATATATATATATATATATGTATACTTTTATCGACTATTTCAGTGAATTATTTTTAGGGTCTGTAGATTGATTGAAACACTACCTGAGAACTGCTCTTGTTGGTACTAAAGCTGGATTTAGACTCCAGCGTGGCGGTGATGTGAAGATTCAAGTTGTTGCTGTACGTCTGCTTGGCGTACTCACTCATGGCGTTCAGTGCGACGACCGTGTCCTACATAGAGAATAATCGTTTAATTATAATTGGTTAACATAATATTGTGCAATTTATGTTTTTAATTAAATGTTTATGTACCATTGGGGAAGAAAATGTTTTTAAAATATTATTTTAGAAATTCAAAAATTTAGAACTTTAAAATGAGGATAACATATGTTATATAAACAATGTTGGAAGAGGTGTCCACAGTAAAAACAATATAGTTTCAAATCGCCCGGGGTAGGAATATAACTTTTATGGCGATTCTTAAAAATTATATGGGAGAGTACGAAATAGTGACGTCTTACTTATATATTACATTTAAAAAGTTTTTTTTTTGTTGTTTACTAGTTTGAAATTTATTAATAAAAAATTTTTTTTATAAATTATAGTTGAAATTAGCAAAGTTTCCCATAAAGACAAACTACTAGTACACAGTTAAAAAAA